CAGCCAATCCCCACGTTGGAGTTTTTAATATCGTTAGTTGCATACAATTTTTGTTGACCCTCTTTATGGCACGCTAGTTTTGATTTTTGTGTATAGCTTTGCTAGTACATTTGATTTGAATTTCAACCCATATTATGTGTCCATTACTAAACGACAATGATGACGTGTATGATGGGCTATTTACCATTTGCACATCTCGGAAAATTAAATTCATTTCATAAATCAAAACATTGGTAATAAGGAATGCATGGTACGAGCGATATGAGTGAGAAAAATAGCTCAGATTGTTCTAAGAGATTTGAAAAAAGCGGAGCCGCGTTGGTTAAAAGCAGAACGCGGTCCTTTGTCAAAAAGGCGGTAGAAAATCGGCAAAACCGTGCAATCTGGCAACACTGCATTGAACCTTATATTTTATCGCTTGCTGCAATTTGTTCCGCATTTTATCATTTATCTACTTATATATACGTAATTTAATAATCAAAATATTTCACCCTGTTAACGATCTTTTGATAACAATTTTTTATATTAATAGCACTGATGAGGAAATAAATTGTTCAGTTATGATTTGTTTTATTTAAATCCTGCATTAACCAATTGCAGTTTATCGAAGAGTGTTTTCGGATATTAATTTTGGAAGCGGTCTCTATTGATTCTGAAATAGGTCATTATTATTTTCAAGGCTTAGTCTAACACCAATTTTAAAAGTTCATAGTGGATAATTGTGTGCAGTTCCAACATTGTAATGTAAACGAATAAAATTGTCTAATTTGATCTCGTAACGGGAAATGAAGTTCTACTTGAATGAAGTCGCGTGAATCAGATAGTATTGAAAAATAACAAATTGGACAGTAAAATTATGATGCTACTGCTGTGTAGATGTGCTGCATTATGAATGGTTGACATTATCATCAAGCTTTTAATGGGCCTTTCCTTTGGTTTAATCAGATACATGTTAATGCGGTCAAGCAAGTCCCCAACAGAGTAGCTGGAGACAATAAAATAATAATTTTGGTCAGTGGGTTTTATACGACAAAATATATTGGTCCTTTAAACATTCAGTGACTCCATAAAATATAGGGAAGTGTGCCTGGGTCGTAACTAGAAGCATCCTATGCCTGTGATGTATAAAGTGTTATACGGCATACATTTTATGAGCACATTTGATGTAAGTTTGCCGCGCGCGCTGGCGCGTGCCTTCTGCAATCGCCATATAAAGACTTCAGGTAGGTTAATATTTTCTTTTATTTACACCCATGCTTTAAAACCACTATTGAAGATTTCGAAACAGTTAGCTTATTGCCAATATTAAAGCATCCAATGGTGTCGATTCTGGCAAGATTCTCTAAAGCTAAACTTAAATTTGACAACAGTGTATCCCTGTTATTCTCTATACAGAATGAAAAGGACAGACTGATGTTAAATTTAGTTTTAAGTTTAGAGAATCCTGCTAGAATCGACACCAAAGTCATATTAAATTTATAAATTCCATAATATAATATTCCTTAGCTTTTTAAATCCCTTCCGCGCCAAGAGCTTGCTCATCAGACAGCCACAAATTTCAATGCTGGATGTGTGGTATTATGTTTAAAAAAAATAGAGCATAGTCATAAACACGCGCTTTTCTCTCTCTTACTTTTCACGAATTTTAAGTTCTTATACTCTCCATGGTTTCAGAATCTGATATAGAGGATTCATTTCGGATGGGTGTAGATAAAGTCGTGTATGAAACTGTTATAATTAGGTATTAAAACACTCATGTGATGATATTATCACACCAGGCGAAGCAGAATTATAAAGCCACGTTGTAATACTCTTCATTATACTATAGTTGCATAAATAACTATTATAATTGTATTGTATAAAATTATCTATAACCTGGCACCTACGTATAGTGCTATCGGTAACTAACGATCCGGCTTCGCAGAACTGCAATAATATGCATGTATTAACATACATATAAACCTTTATTTTCTATCAATATATCGCACCTTTATTCCAATACTGTCATTAAACAATTTTTTTCAAAAAATAGTTTACAACGCCATCTATTTGCTACGTTATGAATCTACACATTACTTCAAATCCTGTATTTTAATTTTATTTTATGATAATGACAGTATTGGAATAAAGGTGCGATATATATATATATATTGTTTTAAACTTTCATGGTCACTAACATTTTAGCTATTAACGGAATTGTTACCATGTACCTTGTTTTATATGAGTCTTCAATATTTCGGCGCACTAAAAGACGATGTCAGAGGGTGTCTGCCAGTAACCCGCAATTACTTTAGTTACTCCGTGATCATGGCGCTTGCATCAGTGCCGAAATATTGAAGACTCATAAAAACAAGGTACATGATTACAATAGCTATACCAATCTATATATTGCTGAAAACTGCATTAAAATCTTTTCTCGACTCTGCTGGCTGACTACATCTTCTTTTCCGTTTAGCTTACCTATACCGCGAAGGTTGTCTGGAAGAGATCGCTTGTAGCGATAAGACGCCTTTGCCCATATTATTGTTAAATGTATTCTTTTTACTTGTGTCCTTTTGTATGTGAGCAATAAAGTGTTTATTGTTATTATTAATAAAATCCGTTACATAGTTTATAAGATATAACGTACTGATAGCTTCGTTTTATACTATGTAAAGATTTAATGGATCACTATATATAATTTGAGTATCTAAGAATCTATGCTAAAGTCAAAATGAAATTTGATCACGTAGGTAATCCGTAAAGATGACGTTTTATTTATACTATCGTCGATGCGTGACTGAACATGAAGCCTTAGAAGTACACGTGCGTATAAAAATAGTATCGTGTCTTCTTACTATAAGTAGGTTCAAAGTAACATTTAGATTACGATAGTATTAAATTAAGTTACCGCAGGCCGAAGCCGAAGTTACTTTAAAGTATAAAAAAAAACGCCAGTCGGACTTGCTGACCGAGGGTTCCGTACTTTGTGGGTACGCAACCAACGGTCGTATCTTTTTACAATTGAGTGATTTTTTTACAACTGTAAGGGACCGTAGACTTGAGTATATGGTTTAAATTTCAACTCGATAGCTTCACGTGTTCCCGAGATAAAAGAGTCTTGACATAGAGAGACTGACGGACAACAAAGTGATTCTATAAGGTTTCAGCTGTTTCCTTTTCAGGTACGGAACCCTTAAAAAGGGTTTGTAGGCTGCATTAGAATTAACAACTTAGTGTATTGAAAGTCAAACCCAATAATGGTAAATCCACATTTGTGTTTGAATACCCCTCATTATACAACAGTTGCATAAATAACTATTTTTTAATTATGACATTGGATGTTTTAATGTTGGCAATAATCTGTTTTTGTATCTTTTCATAGCTTGGGGTGCAATATATGTAGTATTATTATGCTCTTAATTGCACAAAAAAATTGTAAATACAAAACATAAATATGTGAGCAAAGGAGGGCTTATCTCTAAGAGAGATCTCTTCCAGCCAACCAAGGTTCAGTGAGAGAAAAAAGTAAGCGGGTGTAGACATGTTTGTGCACTAACTACTTACTTGTAGATTATATACCTATCTAAGACTACATACATAAATATATTTTCATATGAATCGTATAAAATACTGTAAACTTTATAAAGCATTAATATATAAGTACTCGTAAACGTCCTTGGTCACACCATAACTTGAGATTGAAAACTACCAACTTTACCGAATACACCCACCTTTTTTTAAGTTTTCTAATACAGTAGGTATTAGAAAGTATTACTTTGTAGAAGGTTCTTACGGCAAATATTAGAAAATTTGCGCGAAACTAAAATTAACTTTGACAAAGTCGCGGGAGGAATTTAGTTTTTTAATAAAAGCTGCGATGAGCGAATTTCCTTCTCTATTGTCCTACTATCTATCTATGTTGGTCGAGTTGGAACTCGTTTCGCTGAACGATGGAGCGTCCGGATCCGGACTGAACGCCAATATCCGTTTCCGAGTGGATAGCTTACGGCTATAACACCGGGGCTATTGGGAAAATGTGCCGTTGTGGTCGTATCCCACTGACAATAGACGATCGAGGTTGCTTCAGAATTGAGTGAAACGATTGCGCTTTTTTAGTGTGGATGTTTTTGAACATTCCCACTATTAACAAAACTGAATAAAATTGGAAGTTGAATGTATGAATAACTAGACATTCTAGACTTGGTTTTGTTTCTAGGTTTCTTCTACGATTACAAACAGTACAGGCTTATTAGTCTTGTAGTGAGTTATTTCAATATCTCACATGAACTTAATATTCTTATGGGATAAAATTCAAAAGTATGCTTTGTATTTCCAACCCGGTCTACATAGCGTGACCACCACAATATACATTATAACAAGTTTTTTATCGCGTCTAACTGTCAAAGTCCATAGTGATTTGACAATTGACCGTGATGAAAACGAGCATCCGAATGTCAGTGCAGCCATTTTGTATGATTGAGTAACAAACTTCCATATAGCAAAATGAGTAGAAGTAACCTCCACCTTACATAAGTACTACAGGAAAATAACATTATGTGCTATTGTGATTCTGTCGGATGATAGGATTCGGAAGACTAGCCTTTATCAATAACAGCAGTGTCTGCTAAGTAAGCTAATAAGCAGAAGGAGTTTTACCTCAATGGCGTAGGTGGTTAGCGCGTTCGGCCTGCGATCGTGGAAGTTAAGCAACTTTCGTAATGGTTAATCATTCGATGGGTGACCAAAAAAAATATTATCTCGAACCCCCTCCGTGCTTCGGAAGGCACTTTGAGCCATTGGTCCCGGCTGCATCTGCAGTCGTTAGCACCCACTAATCCACACTGGGCCCGCGTAGTGGGTCATGGCCCGAACTCCTATTCCATCTATGGGGAAGGCCTGTGCCCCAGCAGTGAGGACATTAATAGGCTGATGATGATGATGATGAAGCAGACGACGACAAAGCATCACAACTTACGCTAGGTGTTATTTTATTAAGAATTTCCCTTTCTTTTTCGCAGACGAGAGCGGCGGCAGTTCCGCCTCGCACTCGGACAGCAGCGAAGACGAGGTGACAGAGCACGTGACCCGCTCCACGCCGCCCGCAGTCATGGCCGCCGCCAGGGCACAGGTGATGTATCTGACGCAACCATACACAGATAATGCTCACGGGAGCGGCGGCAGTTCCGCCTCGCAGTCGGACATCAGCAAAGACGAGGTGACAGAGCACGTGACCCGCTCCACGCTGCCCGCAGTCATGGCCGCCGCCAGGGCACAGGTGATGTATCTGACGCAACCATACACATAGATAATGCTCACGGGAGCGGCGGCAGTTCCGCCTTGCAGTCGGACATCAGCAAAGACGAAGTGACAGAGCACGTGACCCGCTCCACGCCGCCCGCAGTCATGCCCGCCGCCAGGGCATAGGTGATGTGTCTGACGCAACCATACACATAGATAATGCTCACGCAATCGAACAGCAGCAAAGAAGAGGTGACAGAGCACGTGACCCGCTCCACGCCGCCCGCAGTCATGGCCGCCGCCAGGGCACAGGTGATGTGTCTGACGCAACCATACACATAGATAATGCTCACGGGAGCGGCGGCAGTTCCACCTCGCAGTCGGACAGCAGCAAAGACGAGGTGACAGAGCACGTGACCCGCTCCACGCCGCCCGCAGTCATGGCCGTCACCAGGGCGCAGGTGATGTATCTGACGCAACCATATTCATAGATAATGCTTATGGGAGCGGCGGCAGTTTCGCCTCGCAGTCGGACAGCAGCGAGGACGAGGTGACGGAGTATGTGACCAGCATGAGTAAAGAAGGAAAGTTGCATAGTAAAAGAGGTAGAGCATAGCGGATTTATCGCTCAAATTGGAGCGCCCGACTGAGAAAGTAACCTCCATCTTACAGAAGACCACAGTAAAATAACACTACCTTTTGGTGGTGTTGTGTTTCCGTCGGTGAGAAAGCTTCCAGGTCTCCACGTGGTAGGGGATTAGGTCAGGATAGGCAGTGCCGCGAGTGATATTTTGTATCGCTAGTGTCTATAGGCTATGGTGGCCGCTTAACATAAGGCGGGCCATAAGCTTATATGCCACTCTTTTAACATAAAAAAAAATACAGTGCGCGTGTCTGAGTTAGAAACGTTTCTGTGCGAACGTGATAGGCCGCCAGTGCTCACTCATACGCGCGCAATTGTATGAAGTTTGTCTATGTGCTTTCTTTACTTATGTACTTCTTACATTGTCTCCCCGGGTGAGAAGTCCTGCGATTAGTCTTGCGATTTCCCTGCGTTCTGGTAGAACATGGGTGCGCGCCTCCTTTTACTCTAGACAGGCTCTGTAGAAGTCGGTGTGTAGGCTCAGAGGGCTGTCGGAAATTAGTTTGTTAGAAAGGATTCGAACCTACGCCTTCCACGGGAGATTTTAATTCTGCCTGACACCGGAAGCCTGGATCGCGTGGATTTTATTTTTAGTAAAACTGGCTTTCTATTAAGGTTGTGTTTCTGCAGAGGCGGAGCTCAGCAGTCTAAGAGAAATTAACATTGTGACAAATACCATTGGTAAATTCCGAAAATACTCTTGTTAAGCTCCAAGAAACTCGATGGCGCAAGTGGTTATCACGTTCGGCTGTGATCGTGGAACTTACGCAACTTTCGTAGTTATAGAATGGGTGACCAAAAATTTACTATCGAGCTTCCTCCGTGCTTCGGAAGGCACATAAAGAAGGCCTGTACCCCAGCAGAGGGGACATTAATAGGCTAATGCTGAGTAAGCTCCGCTTTTATGGAAACGCAGCGAATCAAGCGGTTTAATGCTTAAAATATTTTTTTTGTAAATAGAATGTCGCACAAGTGTCCGCGATACAACAACTCATCGAGTATTTAGTTTCAGGTGCCGACCATCAGCGTGACTCCGCACAGCCCGGGCGTGCTCGATGACAGCCTGCAGCAGCTGCGCCGGCTGCATGCGGCGGTGCAGCGGATGCGGGCGGCGCCGTTACCTTTACTGGTAAATGTTTATACGTACAATCATTCCATCCAAATGAGAGTCGACGTCAGGTGCCATCCCAATGGGAGACGACTGTAGGTCCTATCCAAATGAGAGTCGACGTCAAGTACCATCCAAATGAGAGTCGACTGTAGGTCCCATAAAAATGAGAGTCAACGTCAGTTGCAATCCAAATGAGAGTCGACGCCAGGTGCCATACCAACGAGAGTCGACTGTAGGTCCTATCCAAATGACAGGTGACGTCAAGTACCCAAATGAGAGTCGACGTCAAGTGCCATCCAAATGAGAGTCGACTGTAGGTTCCATCCAAATGAGAGTCGACGTCAGGTACCATCCAAATAAGCATCGACTGTAGGTCCCATCCAAACGAGAGTTGACGTCAAGTGCCATCCAAATGAGAATCGACGTTAGGTGCCATCCAAATGAGAATTGACGTCAGGTGCCATCCAAATGAGAATCGACGTCAGGTGCCATCCAAATGAGAGTCGACGTCAGGTCGCTTCCAAATGAGAGTCGACGTCAGGTCCCGTCCAAATGAGAGTCGATGTTAGGTCGCGACCATCAGCGTGACTCCGCACAGTCTGGCGGTGCAACGGATGCCGGCAGCGCTGTTGCCTTTACTAGTAAAGATTTATACGTTCACGCCATCATTTTAACCTGTAGAATTACTTCAAAGCCTTACAATGAATTATTTAGTACTTTATTGGGTTTGGCCTGACCATGTAGTATATATACGGGGGAACATACACAGACACGACACACAAACACATATTTTATTAGAATTAAGAAAATCTCAGCATAAATTAATCTAAATGTGGTGTGTCCTCCTTGTTATGTTACATAAGTACTTATAAATACATAGCCACTATTTCAAAATATAAATACCTCAAAGCTACGTCAGCAGAAACGAGCTTCAGCCTTAAAGACATAGACGTAGTAGGTACAAACGTCCAAAAATCATTCCAACAGAATATGCAACTCAACGGCGCGACTTTCGTCGGGGTCTACAATACTTTTGATCGGCCAAAATAGAAGGATATCGCCAGATTTCTGACGTTCCGTCCATTGTAATCTTTTAGTATTTACACTGGAAATTTAGCATTAGCTTTCTTCTCATGTGCTAAATATATCTAATGGAATTACAAATTAATAGCAATCAAATGCCACGAGCAGCCCCCTCAAAATTCAAACTGAAACCTTTATGAGAAAGTCGACGGCGAAGAGTTAGCGCGCTCGGTCTGCGATGGTGAAATAAGCAACTTTGGTAATAGCTGATCATAGGATCAGACCAAAAATCTATTACCTCGATTTCCTTCGTGCTTCGGAAGGCACGTTAAGACGTTGGTCCTGGCTGCATCTGCAGTCGTCAGAACCCACCAATCCGCACTAAGCTTGCGTGATGGATTTTGACCCGATCTACGTGACCCATCCATAGGGAAGGCCTGTGCCTCAGCAGTGGCGACATTAATAGGCTGATGATCTCTTTATAATATTTATATTTGTACGCAGGCAATAGGCAGCAGTCGACTGAGTACTTCGTGCCCGTCGCTTTGCAAAGACGGCGCGCCGGAGCCAGAATGTGCGTCCCCCACACATTTGGACTTCTATCCACAGAGTAGAAAAGGCAGTGGTAAGTGGAAATTACAATTAGTGAAATTTTAAGCATTATTCTCAAAGGACGGTCATTGGATGGGTGACTGTAAGTTTATTATTACTGAGTGCCAAAAAAGAGTGATGTTTTCAGTTTGTTTGTATGTGTTTTTTTTTGCTATTATAATTTCTAAATGCTTGAACACATTTGTATGTATAGCGTATCCTAAGGATATCATCACAATTGTTAGTAACTATGAATTAATCAAACACGGTGGCCGTGGTTCTTAACCCAAAAAAAAATATGCAATTCAGTCCCGAGACTGTATTTAATGTTCGTGATGAACCAGTGAGTGGTATTTACGTTTTAAAATAATATTCATTTATCCGTTTCTTCTTTACATTTCATATCTACAGAAAGTGCAGTAACAGAGGGAGACTGTCTTTTGTAAAATTTACCTTCAAAAAGTGCTGATTTTCAGCCTGCTTTGAATTAATGACTTTATGGGGATTCTGCTGAATTAAGTCATAAGTTGTGACTGAAGCAGATGGAGAAAATAACGAATAAGAAATACAGAATAGGGTAAAAATACATACTAAAAGGACTTCTCGATAAACAGCATTAGTGGTTTGGCTCTCCACAGCCAAAATGTAAAGAGAGTCAGGACTGGTGACGCGGAAGCAAGCGACGTACAGCTGCCCAGGTGGAAGAAGCTCGTATTGAGGTCGACACCCGCTGCCCTCAGTGTCTGCCACTGCGACTTATTGATGGTCATCGCGAAGCAAACACTCACGGGGAACTGTACGCGCTTGAACTGAAACGGGGAGTTATGAAGTATGAGGGGAATGCGTGGTATAAATACTGCCTCGCCGACGCCACAATCCGTAAGAATTTTCGCCTCAATGGTGTGGCTGTGGAGCGAGATGACTTTGAGGCGGGTCCCGTTACACAACTTCGGAGGAGATAGGTTCCGAAGAAGCATAATCGGGACACCGACCTTCAGCTTGGTAGTATGCGCTGGAAGTCCACTTGCTGACAGGGAGTTTAGAAATTCCACGTGATAATGTGTGATGTCATCTTGCTCGACGACAGTGTTTATACAGGTGTAAACCACTTCATTCCCCTCAATTTCCGAGAGAATACATACGTTAATTGCTGCAGCCTGATCATTTTTGGGTGCCAAAATGGCCCGCTCGCACACCCAAGAATTCTGCTGTTGCGGTATACGACTGATGTCCCTGATGTACACAGAGCGAATGAGTTCTTCTAAGCTGGATACAATTATACCTAGAGACTCTGGAAGCACCACCTGTCCACCTCTCTCCTCTGCTAGAGTGCCTTCGCCAAGACTTAGAAGGACATCTATGCTGTCTTGCCACCCGGAAGCAGCGTGGCAGCGATTCCCGACGACGCTACAGCAATGGCAATTTTGCCTTGCCTCCTGACCTCTGTAAGTATGCCAGTGGTAACAAATGTTTTTCCTGTTCCACCAGGAGCATCTAAGAAAAACATTTAACCCTGGTTTTGCCCAAAGGTTTCAAGGACGGTGTCATAAATTTGTTTTTGCTCTGAAGAGAACAAAGCGACATGGTCATTTCGTATGGTGGTCATTTCGCCCGGATCTTAAATTGTAAAATTGTTTATCGGCCTAAGTTGCTTACAGTGTAAAGCTAGCTTAAAGCATGGTTAACATATTAACAACATTTAAATATGCGTCGTTAAATAACACGTTGTTACAGAATGCGTTGAAGAAATAAAGATTCACTGCTCGTTCCCCGTAGGTGATAGCGTGATAATATGTAGCCTATATGTTGACCCGAATTCTTAATAATATTCGTGTCAAATATGAAGTAAATTCATGCAGTACTTTTTGAGTTTATCCCGGACATACATACAGACAAACAGACAAGAATTCTTAAAACTATATTTCTGGCTTCAGTATCGATAGTAGATCACACCCCAAGTATTCTTTAAAAAAAATATTCAATGTAGTTTTGACTTTCCTACCATTTTATTATATTTATAGATTAGACTGCCTACAAGAAGTTTCTTTATTTTTGCAACATTATTTTTGCAGTACCACAGTCGTGTTTTAATACCTAATTATAACAGTTGCATACAAGACTTATCAACACCCATGATATGAATCCTCTATATAAGATTTTGAAACCATGGATCCTTCTAAGAACTGAAAATTCATGAAAAGTTTCGGCGCTGTGGTAGTGAAGAGCGCGTGAATGACAATGTTCTTTTTTTAATTCAAAATACCACACAACCACGTAGTGAATATTGTGGCTGACTGATGAGCAAGCTCTTGGCGCGGAAGAGATTTAAAAAGCGAAAGAGTGTTATTATTTATTAAAACCACACATGGGTTTGGGTGTTATAATGGTTTTTTATTATTATGACATTGGATGTTATAATGTTGGCAATAAGATGTTTTAGACTCTTTAATAGTGGGTTTAAAGCAAGGGTGTAGGTAGATAAATAAAAATCAAATCATTTATTCTAGGCGAGTCTCGACAATGGGGCCTTTGGGAGCGCCGCGACGAAGGGCGACGCAGTTCGTGGGCCGCTCTAGAACCAGGCGCGAGGCTCCCCGACTCACACAGGCAACGAAGGTGAGAGAGGGGAAGGGGTTATGAGGGATAATGTCGGTGTTACCTAAACGAAATTTAATCTTTCAGTTAGATTATCAAGGATGACGCAGTTCATGGGCCACTCTAGAACCAGGAGCGGGGTTACCCGACTAACACAGGCAACGAAGTGGGTGTGTGTGTGTGTGTGGGGGGGGGGGGGGGTGCATAGTAGGAGTGGTGACGGAGTAAAGTAAACGAAATTCTGTTCAGTCCGTCGGTTTCATTGTCTAAAAATAATGGACACGTAACACGTTATTTTTTATTATTAGGAATTGCTGTGCGAATTGTGTTTTGAAACATTTTGACACTCAAAACCTCGCTAAGGATATATAGAATATGTATATCAAACATCTGGCATGAAGGATAAATGTATTACATTGTAATCTTTGAATTTATTTATACGCCTATATAGAGCAATCCAAATAAACCACGAGAAGTTGTATAGAACCAGTCAATGTGTGTGCATGCAGCGACAGGCATATCTACCATATGTAGTAGATATTTTTTACGCTGCTTCCGTGCACTTAATACGGCATCTAGGTGTATGATCGAAGATTGTAATATAAAATTAATTCCAACAAATGTACTTTCTGCTTTAAAATTAATGTCAATTAAACTTAATCGCTAAGTCATAACTTAAGTTATACTAACGAATTGACACGTAATTTAATTACTTAGTACCTACTTCATCAAGAACTTCTAATTTATAAATATATCGTTGAGATATGAGCATATGTAGTAAGATGATTTGATAAATCGAACTTTCGCGAAAATCCTAGGGATTTTATAAAAACGCCAATAATTAGGCATTTGCTCAATATTACTGTAAACGACGTTTTTTCTGGTGTTTCGCCGGCCTCTCCGCGGCACATTCGCTACGCTCGCTCGGCTCGTGCATCATGGTCACAACACCAACCTAACCTAACCTAGTGTAAAGCCAAGAATTCAAAACCCCACGAATATTTATAACAAGCCAGCGATTCTCTTCCCAATCTTACTGAGGCGACTAGCGTTTTCGTAAAAAACCCTATCTTTTTCAGTATGATTGAGATATAAAACATCGCCACTGTCTAATTATCCGCGCTTTCGCAAAATCCCTAGGAATTTCGCGTAAATTCGATTCATCAAATCATCCTACAACATACATGTCCCATTTAATTGCTCCATTGTGTTGTGCATCCCGCATACAGCTTGAATGTATCGCAATATAATTAAAATAATGTTGTTTGTTTCAGCACACTGAATGGACACAGTGCGTCGTTATCGTCTATGGAGTCGGAGGGCGAAGTGCCGCGTCCCGTGAGGCACTCCACTCACTCGCTCAACGACAACGATCTGGCGGTTAGTGTTATTATACTTGGGTTCATTGATTGACCTTTTACTAGTTTAGCACCTTTGTGGATTTTACCCGAAACCACAGTTTTTATTTATAAACAGGTCTGACAGATGACTCCACCTCACCTGATGTTAAGTGACGGTAGCTGGTACAACAGTTCTACCTACCACTAATATATACCAGTAATTGCTTCAAACTGTTCAAATGTGTCCTTTTATTTACCCTTGTTCTATATGTAATATCATCAGCCTGGTCTAGATCATGATTGAACAGAAGAAACTGCGAGAAATTGAAGGTGTTTCTAAACGCGGGCATTGATTTTGAATACACGGTCGGTATACTTCTGCTTAAAATTGCGTGATGCTTTGTTCTGAGCCGCTCACTCTGCGTGTGCGCGAGTACTTTTCGCTAGTCCGCATTATAACGATAGATTTTTCGCAGAAGGACTTCGAGAAAGTCACAGCGGCTTTACGAGCGGGTGGCGTGGTTTCCGGATCTGGGGGTGGATCTGGAACTGGGGTGGGGGTTGAAGGTGGGGGGCGGTTGGCGGCTAGACTGCCTCTACAGAAGTCGGTGTCCACGCCGAGTATTGTGGCTGCAGTGCAGCCGCCGCAACCCCAGCCGCCTATTGCTATGTGAGTTGCTTTATGTTATATATATATATATTTTGAGTGTGTATGCTGTTGTCGCAGATGACCTTTACAGCGTCACCGGGTTTGGGGACGGCGAGATCCTAAGGGGACCTCAAGACGAGTATTGGCGAGTGCCTCTAGAGATATTCCAGGCGGATAGCATCTCCTCACGGGGGGAGTCTCCTCTAGACCACTCGAATCTGAGGGGATGTTATATAAGTGGTGTTTTGAGTGATTTCAAAAATGTTTTGACAGGTGCATCATGCTCGGGAACGGGTGGGGACGCTATTTATTTTGGATCTTTAAGATAAGGATACTGTTACGATTGCACTGCGTTAAGTGGGAGCACGTAGTGGACGTCTGCTCAGCGTGCAATTTCATGGCATTTATGGAACAACTCTGTGACGGGAGACCCGCTTCAAGCAGCGCTGCTCTTTGAAATAACATGAAACAAACGCGCGGAGCGGACGTCCGCTTAGTGCTCCCGCTTAACGCAGCACAGGCACTTGGGGTATAAAACGTGACGACATAATTTTTTTTACTCTCGTGACTCTTTCGTTAATGTTGTTGAGTTTCTTTCGCCAGTCCTTCTCAGGAACCGAAAGAAGTCCTGAACTGGTGATAGATTATGATCACCTGATTAGGTGAATTAACCTTTTTTCTGATTAAAGCGTCATTGTCTCCTCGAGCGAGCGAATAGCGGCAATGTCATCGTTGTGCCACGTATTTCTATAATAATGTCATAAAATATAAACAAATATGTCATATAACATGTCACAATCGGCAAGTTTAGGCATTGACGCAGGCCCTGACATAACCATTCATACGCTGAGATAATAATCGTCATTTCGTAGAGATTACCTGATTACGATAGAAGCGCGGAATCGTCGCGATTCTCTCACTCGTGAAGGTTTCACCTTATTCATAAATTCTGCGGGGTTGTGGGATGGGATTGTTTATTTTGTTTGTCTTGTGGGTTAACAAAAAATATGGGTGTACGTTATTCACGCCAAACGTGGTGAGGGCTTGATAAAAAGATATAAACCACTACAGCCCTAGAATGCTAGCACAGGTCATTATATTGGCGTAAGTTATTTAAGTATACGTAAGCGTAATAATAAACATCCCAGCTTCTTAATTAAAAGATTTTATCAAGATAATGGTGTCGATAATGGCATGATTCTTCCTCTAAACCTAAAATTAAATTTGACGACAGTGTATCCTTGTCATTCTCTATAGATAATGAAAACGAGAGACTGATGTTAAATTTAGTTCTAAGTTTAGAGAATCATGCCAGAATCGACACCAATTATTATTCATAAATGTCTTAATAATTCTTTAAAAACAAGTTTTTTTTAATACCCATAAAGTTTAAACTTTGAATATTCAACTGTAATATAAAACCTTCGGAGTTTGCTTAAATCTTACTTTTTTAAGTATGTTAAGACTCAGACAAAAATAATATGGATATAATTTTCTATCTACATTAATTCGGTTAAAGTTGCATGTGTTTTGTGCATGTCTAAATTTTTTAATGTTTTATTTTTTCGTCTGCACAGTTTCGCTTTTGCTCAGTTGTGAACACTGAACACCGGTTGAAACCGGTTTTTTTTTATTTGCACTAATGGGTGGAAATATTTTGATAATATGTTTAACATAAATAAATTTGTTCAATATGAGTATTTTGTTATTTTATCTGATTTTAAAATCCACAAATGATGTGATTCTGAACTATATGAAACTCATATTAACATTTCAAGTGGGCTGAGTAAAAAGAATTGGTCAAATCTATGACTGAGAAGGGGAAAAACAAATAAAACATCAAATCCTGCAAAGTAAACATAAAGCTAAATGTTAGCCAGACTTTTTCCTCAATAAGTAACGTCTTACTATCGAAAATTTCACATTCGAGGTAACTCATAAGAGACTATTGCACAATGTTTCCACCCGCGTATTGTACGCATAGAGGTATAAGAATAGAGTGGGGAAGGCGACTCTAAAAGTGTCCGTCTAGTAGAAAGAGAAAGAAGATGAGAGACCGCTAGCTATCTCTCTCTCTTGTGACGCATGGCATCCAATGGCATCACATCGAAATAGTAAGATGCTTACGGTTGCCAATGCGTCTGCGCGATTAGAGAGAGAAAGCTAGCGGTCTCTCATCTGCTTTCTCTTTCTATTAGAGGGACACTTGCACTTGTAGTAGAGTCTATATCTCCCCTACTCTATTGTTATACCTCTATGATTGTACGTCTCGCTCGATGTTAGCGTGTCCGCGGGGGGTGCGAGCGAGACGGAAAGCGAGGAAGACCTGTCAGTGCCGACGGAAGGTTCCATCAACCAGTTACCGGGCAGAAGGAACAACAGCCGCCAGGAACACTTGGGCTTGCATCGGCTGGCGTTCTTGGAACAGTAAGTGGACTCTATTGCGTTTAAATAAGGTCTATAATCGATTGTTTAGTAAAAGTACGAGATGGCAGAATTGGATTTAACATTAAAGTTTCGAGTGGTAAGGTTGATTTTGCATTAACACACAGGCTTGGCAGTGTATTTTAATTTCTAGTTCTATGGAATATTCTTGAATACTGATATAACGTTTTTTTTACCAAAGGTTTTTTTTAAATGACACCATATTGCCACGTTTTGACGTACTTCTTTTATGCAAGTAAAGATACCAAACAAGACGATTATCTTCACGTAATCGTAAAATTGCACTTCGATTTTACGATATTCAATAATGACAGAAAATTCTAGCACGTTTTTTTAGTTTCTAGCATGTGAGCACAAGGCTTTGCTTGTGTATTTGTTGTGTGTTTAGTGTTTCAGAGCTTCAAATGCATGTTTTATTTGAAAAGATCTTTACAACTATATAAATCTTATTAGTTGGGTTCGAGATTATGGTGTTTTATTTGATTTTCGTTCGACAGAGCGGCGTTCGATCACCACGCAGAGAAGAGGCGGAAACGGGGAAGTTTATTCTTCAGAAAGAAAAAGGTAATACACAGTGATGTCACTTTATTTTATTTATATCCTACTAGCTTCCGCCCGCGACTTCGTCCGTGTTATAGTTAGTATTTTGAGAGACACATTTTTGCGAGATGAAGGGGATCCCATATCACAATCCTAGTAATAAAATATATTTATACTAAATTTCATCGAAGCCGTTTTTGCGTGATTGAGTAACAATGTGCCATTGACGCGACCGTAGGCATGAGATCTTTTAAACGATTTTTTTTTTACATTTGGACTCACGTTTATTCTAAAGATTTGTCCAAGCATTATTATTCAAATTGTTTATTACAGACAAAAAAATGGTCCATCAAATCGTTAGTAAAAATATTTAACTTAAATGCTATGTTAGTATATATTATTTCTAGGATTCAATCAATGTGTGATTTTTAAATATTGAAATTGTATTATTTATAATATAAAAAGTAATCTAAACCAAAAGTCAAACAAAATGAATTTATGTAATTAATTAATATTCTACATTTAATGTCATATAATTAAAATGTGTATTATATTAATAATTATTATTATAATACTTTTAACAGGACAAATCACGCAAAGCATCGCACGCGTGGCAGGCAGCCGGCAGCAGCGGCGATTGCGACTGGTGCGGACGCGCCCTTACTGACAACCCGTCGTTGTATTGTGACAGTAAGTCATTTGTCATCAATCTTATAACGGTGGAAAACTTATAATATGTAATAATAGTCTATAAATTCATCTTCGTTTGTTTGACAGATTCTTTGATATTCTATTATGTCATGTTATATTTCTAATTAATATTCTTAAAAATGTTCCACCCACGACTTCTTCTGCGTTTACTTTAGTTTTGAGAACCTACAGGAATCTAAATTTTTCCGAGATGAAATGGCACATGATATATACCCACCTCTGTATTTTATATCTCCAATATATATAATATTTCGTCCACTATGTGTTGCATTGTACTTTTGGAAACATCTGAGGTAGAGACAAGTTAGATGATAAAAACCATGTTCACATTTAAATAATATTACAATAGTATCAAATCTGAAGGGCGTAGTATAAGTTGTTATTAAATTTTATAACCTCAACAAAGTAAACTTTGCATCAAATCAGATGTAATTCTGGATGAAAACAGAAATGACGGTCACGGGAGTAGAATTCATTTATTTCTCAATATTTACTTAACGGCTAGCTTTGCTGTTTGACTATTGACGTCGTCAAATTAGTAAAAAGACCTTCTCATTTGCAATATGCTCTTTAAGTTCTGAAAAAACGGTCAAATTAAAAAATAACTCGAATTAACACTTTAGAACAAAATCACAATAAACATAATCTTAACGTGACAACTGAGTTACACTATTTGACAATAATTTGCCAGTACCAGCAAAACCATTAGTAACTCAAACATTCTTTTCATGACTGTATTGACAGACTGAAGTAAATATCATTACACTAAACTAAATTATTTTTAATATTGTATTATAACAATTGTGTATTTTTTGCAGATTGTACCATGACAGTGCATCAAAATGTATGCAAAGACTATATAGTAGAATGCAACAAACCGAAATCGTCTAAGGTTTGTATTCAATGTTTATGACCATTTAAAGAATATTGACCTTAATAACCTCCATGTTAAGGTTTATATTTCCTTGATCTACAATGAATTAAAGTTAATTGTTGATGGTACTGTTTTGTTCCAGACATCAGTTGGAAAATCATTAAGTGCCAATAGTGGAAAAAGTAGTAAGCGAAGTTCGGTATCAGGCCAGTCTCAAAACGCAAATAGGTAAGTACCTTTTTTCTTTAACATCAAATAATATCACAAAGTAAAAAAAAAAACAAAAAAGAAACTATATTTAAAAAGAACTTTTTAAAACTGAAAGATAAACTGTCCCATGTAACTGGTGATAAATAAAATGTTATCAAGTGTAGAATGTAAAATAGTTTGGATATATTTTGTATGGCATATATTTTGCTGCTTTATATTTTTCATTGTCGCAAAGATCCTATGGCGATGGAATGGAAGCAATGGTCATGGTTCATGCAGTTTTCCGCTGATGCATTTTGGATTTGTTTTGCGTGCAGATTGTGCGAGGTTTTATGTATTTTTGCGTGAGCAGTTTTTTTTAAAGAAACTACATTATTCTTAACAATTAAACGCGTAATGGTTTTAATGACCTAAGAAATGTTTAGGTGTTGACTGCGACACAGTCGTGAGGCTGTTTTTGATTTTATTATAAGAAGATACACAAGTATGCGACACTATGATTTGAACTTAACTTTTATAATGTTTACCTCTTTTTATTACGGACACAGGTTACTAGCTTTGTATCATTGCTCGTCCTTCTCTTTGGTTCGTCTTTTTTTTTTAGTTTTGTTTCATTTTTTAAGTTTTCAACGCTCTTCGGCTTAATTTATTTCTTGTGAGCTGTTTTTTTTGGGTTACTCGTTTTTGGTTTTGGTAAACGATGTCTTCTTATAAACGGAATTATTGGTATATAAAGCGTTTGAGGTGTCTTTTTATTACAATTGTTATTAATAAAAATAAGGACATGATTAATATAAAAATTATTTCATTTATTTGTGCAATAGTTCGACCACGCGAATAGTTTCGATTCAATTATTTTCAAATATTTTTCAGTAATAAAACTTCTTTGTTTTTCCATGTTCTCCGTTTCTTAGATCAGTAAAAAAATTTGCAAAAGCATATATTTTACAGTTAACAATTTCGAACTGAAAAAGAATCTAAACGAACCAAGTATACGTGGTCGCACTATTATTAGAGCTACTAAAATCGATGCCACCTCGAATTCTACTAAAACCGACGCCACCTCGAATTCTATTAAAACCGACGCCACCTCGAATTCTTCGCCCGCGTCACGTGACCGCTTCAACGAGAATACTCAAATTTTGATATCAATAACAAAAAAAAAAACAAAAAGATTGGCCACGCACACATATGTACACGTGTGTTTGCACGCACACAGCAAGAAGCAGACCGGATGCTATTCGCCGTGGCGCCGCGTCGCGACCAAGCTCGGCGTGCAGTAAGTTGCGCGAATGCTGCGTCATACCGCTGCCTCTTTCTTACTCTATCCATCATACATATATTCACCGCCATCGTTCTGTCTCGCTCTGACGTGTCACCTGCGACGCGGCTCTGATATCCTGGTCACTTGGCGTTTATTTTTTTCGTTTTTAGGTTAGGTTTTTTCAGTTGATTGTGGTTTATTTGGTAATTTTGGTTTGTGGTGAGCTAAGAGGCGTTTTGTTTGTGGAGTTTGTGGACTAAATATCTTACAGCGAAAGTACTTAAAAACTATTTTCTGAATATATATATTTTTATAACAATTTTCTATCATTTAATAAGATAGTAATGTAGGCTTTAATATCAGTTGATTTACCCTATACCATTTCGGCAATTGCTTGCAGTAGGGCTGTAATTATGACATCGAAATTCACAAATCAAACGTGCCTCTTAAATTGTGTTTACTTAGTTCAGTCCATCACATATCAGAGACAGAATCTTCTAGATCGCCCTCGATTCATCCACGACCTTACTTGTGTATCTTTCTGTCTGTTACCGAGGTAGTTTGATCTTCTTGAGAAGTGTTGTCGTAGTACTTGGTTTTTTCTTCGAATGAGTTTTCAGCTGATGGACTTTATTTTAGCTATTCATTCAATCGTCAGTGTGTTAGAAAAGGATTAAAACTTCACTTAATCACTATTGTACTTAAAAAATGTTGTTTAGTTATTTGCAAAAGGCCAAAGGATGGAAGGAAATACAAATATCATAGTTACTAGAGGTGAAAATAATAACTATTGCTCTAAAGTTGTAGGTGCATAACTTTCTAAAGTTCGGTACATATACGAGTAGAATATTAATATTACTTTAAAATAATATTACCGGCTATCTATTAATATATGTGTAAGTTAAATTAAAATTCATGCTGTCACATTCTTTACGATAGCAATTGAATAAGTCCACACTTCACTTTGACAAGCGTTAAGACAAAGAAAGTATTTTTAATATTTTTTTTAATTCAGTCATACAACGCTTAAATTAGCCAAATGAACGCGTCCATTTACCATTCCTTTCTTAGCACACCTGACGTATAGTTAGAGACGTAAACTGTTTCGTCGTACGTGTCGACATTTTTAGGTACTTCGCATATTAATATCTTACAAAGAGGAGAAATGCATGCCCTATTTTTTAAATACTGTGTCAGTGGTTTTTTAATCAATTTATGCTTATTTTTATTATTTAGGCTTTGCTGATTGTTATTTTATTTATATTTCAAGATATTTGACCATGCAGGTCGAGGTAGGAGCAGGTATATTTTTATTTTATTCTAAACGTTTTGATAATTTTGATAAACCTTACTCTTAACTCAAATGGAAAATAATAAATGCTGTTGTTACCTATCGTTTCATTACTGTCATGTGTTGTGTCGGCTGATCTTTGACCCTGTCTAAACTTTTCGGTATTTTTTTCTCTTTCTCGTATGGCAACACTGAATATGTTGGATTCTTATGCTAGGACTTCACATGGCTATTCGTGTTTGCTATTTGTAAACTTGACAGCAGTATATTCACAGAGATATTCTTATCTTCGGGGGCGTATTTACAAATTCAGCGCCCAGGGTGTCAACAACTACCTCACGCTTATTTCCTTTAATATTGTTGTATCAATGCAAAAGAAAAAAAAACGCGAGGCATTTGATAACCTCAGGTGGTCAGAAATTACAACATGAAATCGTAAGCGATAGCCATAGCAATCCCGTTAGACGAAAGTCCCCCAGGGACGCTTTCGAATTTCCATCTCCTCCCACTCTAGAAATACTAAATCAAATGTCAGTAACGAATGCCCTTATTATGGCTTCTGCCGCCTCGCAGCCTGCCACCCCGGGCCATGGTCCTCTTATAAATAAATAATAAATTAATATTTCCAACACTCACACCTATTAGCCCAGCCCCAGAATAAGCACTATAAGGCTTGTGTTATGGGATAGTAGGGTAACGGATAGAATACATATGCATATATAAGTATATTTATATAGAAATACATGTGAAACATCCATGACTGGAGTACAAATTCTCATATTCATCACACAAATATCTGCCCCCGCCGGGAATCGAACTCGGGGAGGTCGTCGAAATGTACGCCGGGTGACCTGTGCAGGCGTATCGTCTATTTTTTAATGGTCCAGCCTAAGGGCTAGCTAAAATGAGCAGGGAATAGTCCCACATACCTTCTTCTGGTTCCCCTGTGGTTAAAGGATGCGTAAGGCATATCCCAGACAAAAAAAAGCCCTACAGTAAATACGCCTCTGCCGCGCCCATCCTTTTTTCTATAGGGAGTGAAAGTAAATATTGCTTTCAAGTTCACAATCAGCAAATACGAATAGCTATGAGAAGTGCCGGTCTTACTAAAACATAAAATAAATATTCATTTAATTCTGTGGTGTTGCCATACTCATTACCGTTTTTCGTAATTCGGTTGATAAATATTGGTCTTATTTCAGCACGAGCCATACGTATAACGACGACAAGGACGGTTCGGATCATAAACACGATCAGAGCAAGTGAGTTTTATTTAGCTTATATTTATATTATTTTTTAGACTTGCATTTTACATTGTACTGCGATGGTTGTCGTCGCTAGAGGGGGTTCGATAGAATTAATAAATCGCTAAAAAACGTTTGAAACGGTTTATTTATGGAAAAAATAAAAATTGCAGCAAATAAGGTATAAACTTGAAAAAATGCCGGTAGTCCAGTAGATAAAACTTAATTTATAAAATACATTGCCTATAAAATACAATTTAGCTTTTTCCATTATGGGTTGATAACTTATTATTTTAAAGAAACATTTTGAATCGTGCCGAAATCAAATAATTTACAATAGGTATCATAAAATGGATCTATCTTTTACGAGTTTTCTGCTGAACTGACAATAAGATAATTTTGTTTACAGCTTTGATTTTGAAATAAAAACCATAAACAACATTTTGGAATTAGTGGTATTAGAAGTTCTAATATGGAGGAAATAAACAAGGAGAACAGTTGCGGCTAAGTCACACCGTTACACTACTAATATCAAAGTCTTAACAGTCTGCGCAGATAATAAACAGATTGTTACTCGTACATGAATTTTTCCTCTGAATGTTTTGACAAATTTGGAGTACCTACCCATTGAGTCATAACAATAAACATTTTGTTTCACTTAATATATTTGGTCCCGGTGCCCTTTTAGTACAGTACCCAAAATACGAACATTTAGCGAGAAAGTATTCGTGTCGCCATGTCAAAGTTTATATGAAAATTAAGCAGCGCCCCTACCGGACGTAAGAACAAACTGGCTACTTCCAAACAAAAATTGGTGATGATGATACGATTACGGAGCTGCCAAAGTTTGTGCTTAGGCCTCTGGTATCTTGGTAAATACTATTTCGGTACCAGTGTCCTGTAAGATGCTTGTATTGTTTAAACTTTTAAAGCTATATACCTATAATCTCTACACCTTTTGCGTCGAAAAAGATTGTTTTTATTGTACATTTTTACTTAACACGTTTTGTTAAAAAAAATATCAGCATCATCAACCGTTGGACGACCACTGCTAGACATTGGCTTCCTAAATGGATTTCCAAACATAAACAACGGTCCTTCGCTTTCCGCATTTTTCCGGTGGGTCCTCGCGACTCGATTGATGTCAACAGTCCATCTTTTTTTCAACCCTAGTAACGCATTTTTCCGTGTTAAAAAAAAAGATGGACTGACGACATTAAGCAAGTCGGGAGGACCCACCGGATGAGGAAAGTGAAGCCGCTCGGGAAGGCGACGAGGTTATGTGGGACTCTTCCCCCTACCTCCCGGCCACTCATTCAGCCAACCTTAAGACTGGCTCAATGACTGCTCGGGATGTTGAGACCCTACCCACTAAAACTCCGGGATGTGCCCTTTCCTTGCTGGTGATGACGACGTGGGCTCTCCTGTTAGGAATCAACCACGCCGATCGTCAGTCCGCCTAGGTGTCGATTCTGCTAAACTAATGTGAAAATCGTATCTTAATAGTTGTTCAATAGCTTTATGACATAGTTCTTGTAACTAAAACATAAAATAACAAATGCATATAGATAAAAAACTGAGTAAGGTGTCATTTGTAAATTTGTGTTTTGGTCAAAAATCAAATATACTGAAACACAATTGATGCACCATTATCATTTTAACTTAGCAGTATCGACACTTTGGTGTAACGACACTACGCTTTCCGATGCGAAGTCTCCATTGAAGCACCTTGGGACCACAACATCCACCAGTCCGCCGAACTATGTGCCGCGCACATTGCCACTTTAGCAGCCAAAAAATATGGAATATTAGTGGCCCGCCCTCGCTTCGCTTCGGTGTAGAGCTGTAGTGTAGACTAAAATGACTCTTCATATAGTTATAAAAAAAACTGAAAATGGTATATTTGCCTTTTCCAAACTTCTGTTGACATCACGTCACTCAATTGTTTTGCCTTCCCGGAGCCTCTCCACTAACATTGAAATTTATGGTATGGTATTAAAGCTCAAATTGACTTTTAAGTATTATTACGAATCGTTTGTGTGGGAGTATAGAAAAATGTTGTTTTTGGAATTTTTCCGTCATTTTTTTTAATTTTTCTCTGCGTAAGAACCATCCTCGTACTTCAAGGAATATTCTAAAAAAAGAATTATCGAAATCGGTTCAGCTGTTCTCGAGATTTGCGCTTAGCAACACATTCAGCAATTCATTTTTATATTATAGATTATATATTTATTTATTTCACTTATTCAGTGCATCAGACGACGCCGGTGCAGCGGAATGGCCCGAAGTATACTTGACCCCGGACCACCTAGGCGATGAAGCGGCCGCTTTAGGACTGGGCGCTTCGGAGCCTGACACTTGGGCCGCTGGAGCGCCTAAGGGACTCGCCAAGTAAACAAATTATATATTTATTTTTTACTATTATTGTATATAGAATGAAATATACTTGACCCTGGACTAACTTGGCCTTTAGGACTGGGCGCTTCGGAACCGGATAATCGGGACACTGGAGCGCCTAAAGCCTATGGGACTCGCCAAATAAACAATGTATTTCGTTGTTCTATACATCGTTTTTTGCTTATTTATGAACAAACCTCATAATGTACCTACTCGTCTTCTTATGAGCCGTACTTTTTGTGCGATCTGCTAGTTCGTAAGACTATCTGCGTTATTTACAACAACAACAACTAATTTAATCAATAAAATAGTCAAAAAAAGTATAGTCAGATCAGCTCGAAGGACCAAAAAATAAAAGGAAATTTTGCTAATGAAAATAAATAATTGAAACCTTCATAAAATATTTATTTTCAGTTATAATTACGAAAATATTGAATTATATATAGCTTTTGTTATTTAATACATAGAAATAAGTGAGCTTAAATATGATTGGAAATATAATGTAACAAATGTTTTTTCCACAGGTCCCTAGGAGAGCGGGAAACGAAACGGCAAGAACACATATACGAGTTAATACTGACAGAGAAACACCACTGCCTCACGATACGACTTATGCAAAAAGTGAGTGTTCCTATTTTTTTATAATTTAAAGTACAACTCGTGTCATTAAGGAAAGGAATCGAAAATGCCAACGCAAGAAATTCTGTCCTTCTCCCACGTTTACATTTGTGATTTTTTGTCTAACGTTGTCATTTGCGATTTCTTTCATTAGAAAGATTATTCATTGTCACAAATTAAAACATGAAACAATATACCTTATACATAAATACAATAATTTAGGTCTAAACATTTGTGTCACTAAAAAGGCAATCCACTCAGCATGTGTCAGGATGTCGTAGACTGTCCGACGCTGGTCTTCCGTAGTTATCTTAAAAAGTAGGGTTTTTACGGATACTAGGGAAAAAGTGTAGGGTGGTATTTGTCGGTCTCAAATCAACTCGGTCAATGTCTCAGGAGGAAATTGTTTAATTTTTTTTTTAAATATTAACGATTTATAATTCGATCTGAATTATGCTTAAGTTGCTGACTATAAAATTTACTACACACAATGTAAATTAGAACGGCAATAAACGTTAATGACATGAGTAATAATTGCTAGACTTTAATGTATAAAGAATTCTTTTGGTCTCTCATATGACGTGAATGTATGTGTGTTGATATCGTTGATATGTTCATTTCCATAAGTGTGTTAAAGTTTTGAACACGGCAACATTAGAACAGTCATTTTGACGTTACGAATTGGCAAGTTGTTGCTGCAATGGATTTTGATAAAGTCGGTTATGATTTATAATTAATCTCTTAGTTTAAAGTATCAACCCTATTTTGTCCGTAAGAAATTGGTGTTTAGAGCTAGAGATTTTAATCAGGTCACGATTCATTAGGCTTGGTCGAGTTTCTGATCTATTTTGGCCACACAGATAGCAAGCTCCTTGGTTTGGTATTGATTTATTCATCTATGAAAAGCGTCCTGTGTAAATGTATCATAAAATTGCTTAAAGCCACCCAAGTTATATCGACCCGCAATAACTATATATTCTAAATAATGTAATGGAAGGTGACTTCAGACGTATCTCTGAAGTCATTTTTCAACTTGACGACTCTGTATATACGAGTAACAATACAGGGAGAAAAAAACAGCCCTTGCTGAGTTTCTTGCCGATTCTTCTCGGTACAAGGTCTCCCGCCGTAGTTTTGCGAACCGATGCCCTAGCTTCTTGATCTTCACAAGTGCTTGTAACAGCTTAGACTGAATAAATGACTTTTCATTTCATATCAGCTACACTCTTTATCTAACTCAACACCTCTCTATCTTTGTCAGATGTTCGTGGAAGGCATGATTCGCCTCGGCGGCGTATCGGGCGGCCAAGTCGCTCGAATGTTTCCACGGGTCGACGAACTATGGTCCCTACACGCTTCGCTACTAGCTCGCCTTCGAGCTAGACAGCGGCTCGCGCCCGCCGTCCGCTCCGTGGCCGACGTACTAGCGGACGCGTTCAACCCGCCCGCGCAGCACCGGCTCAAGGCCGCCTACGGTACATATAGACTGTGTCGTTTGGATATAGCCAATGCCTTGAATACCCTGCCCCAGAGAGGTTAGAGAGAATGAGAACGATCGCTTAGTGCTAAAGCATTAGCCCGCCTGTCCCTGAAGTTAGCTATTTATGAGTACAAGTAGATGAAGTTAGTAGAATAATGTACAAATTTTCATTTTGTAAATTATTATACTAACTTCATTTATTATTCTACTAGTTTTATTTATCCATGACAACAAATAAATTTTCAACACATTTGCTCAAATGAATGACTATGGTCACATATATCAACACTGTGCCCCGCGGTGTAACCCGCGGTTCATTAGTTATATTTCCCCGCAGTAAAACGTAGCTTATGTGTTAATCCAGGGTGTCAGCTAAATCCATATCAAATTTTATTAAAGTCGCTCCAGCCGTTTAGACGTGAAGAAGTAACAAACATACACACTCACAAACTTTCGCCTTTATAATATTGGTGTGATGGTTACATTCGACTACTCGTTTCTAATAACCAACTAAACAACGTTTACAAACGAGTAAACGAATGTTAGCCCGAGGCGAAGTTGAGGGCTTACCAAAGTCACGAGTTTGTAATACCAACCCGCACGAATGTCACACAATGTTTTTCAACACATTTGCAAGAAAAAATTGAACATATTTTAAGTTTTTTTTTTAAGAATTTAAGATATTTTTTTTTAAGAAAATGGTGCGCATTTCCAAATGGCGTCAAGCGCGGGTGGTGAAAATTAGCAGTACATTTTTCGTTTCTTTTTCTTTTTAGTATTAAAGTAAGACACAGGTATTGACTGAAAGCGCTTCCGAGGAGGTTCGATCGAAATAGAAAAAAACCGCAAAGAATAAGCACGCTGCCATTTATGGGAGCGTGCATAATGAATGTTACCTAACGCACGCTCCGCTATATGTCCCGTAATTTTGAATAGTCTAACAATGTATACAACCTTAGTAAATGCATTTTTTGAGTAAATGTGTATAAAATAAGTATAACAATTTCCATTCAGGTGAGTTCTGTTCGCGCCACCACGAGGCGGTGGAAGTGTTCAAGGAGTGCTGCACGCGAGAGCCGCGCCTGGCGAGATTCATACGGAAGTGCCAACAGAACCCAATGCTTAGAAAAAAGGTGGCATAACATTGTCAAATAATCTATTATGTCTGCAGTTTTGACTAGTAAAATAAGCTAGGATAATATTCATTCATATTTATGTTAGAAGCTTGCATTTAAAATTGATACAACTGTTTGACGCACGCGTTTAAATTAAGATCAAGGTAGCTTACGTAGCGTATATACATATAGTGGTGTCAATTCTGGCATGATTCTATAAACTAAAAACTAAATTAAACATCAGTCAATCCTTTTCATACTGTATAGAGGATACACAAGGATATACTGTTGTCAAATTTCAGTTTAGGTTTAGAAAATCATGGCCGAATCGACACCACTGTGTAACTTGATATAACCAATGCCTACCAAACCTTATTTCATAGGTGACTTAACATTTTAACAATGCGCCTTATTGTTTTTAATTTCTCGATCATCTTTCCTATATTTACGGGATTGTTACCATGTACCTTGTAACATGTAAAGGTATATGGTAACAATCTCGCAAATAATATAATTTACTATAAGGTTAGTGACCATGAAAGTTTAAAACAAGTATACCTTTAGTAAGGTTTTCGGCAATGATTTCAGTCATGGTTTGCTACGTAGGGTTTTTACTATCGTTTGACATAACTTACAACTTCAACCTCGATAAATGTAGACATATTCGTTATGCTAATGTGTTTTGTTCTTCCAGGGTGTGCCAGAATGCGTTTTGTTCGTGGCACAGCGATTAACCAAATACCCATTGCTTTTGGAGCCATTATTGAAAACAGCTGGCGACGATGCTAACGAGAGGGAACTCTTACAGAAAGCGCTTTGTGGTGTTAAGGTAACCTTTTTATATTATAAAAAAATAAATAATTATGTATCTTCTTAATATAGGAAAAAGAAACTGATTGACTGATCAACGCACAGCTCAAACCACTGAGTCTAGTCTAGAGACTCCAAATTTGTTACGTCGAAATTCACCACCGAAGGGTTTAAAATAGGGGATGAAAGTTTGTATGAAATATCTTATTCCTTGAGTTAATAGACTTGAATATTTTGTCATTTTTATTTTGCCTAGTATATCTCCTAAAAGGGATTGGTAGGAATTCACCACCGAAGGGTTTAAGATAGGGGATGAAAGTTTGTATGAAATATCTTATTCCTTGAGTTAATAGACTTGTATATTTTGTCATTTTCATTTTGCCTAATGTATCTCCTAAAAGGGATTGGTAGGAATTCACCACCGAGGGGTTTAAAATAGGGGATGAAAGTTTGCATGAAAAATTCTATTCCTTGAGTTAATAATAGACTTGAAAATTTTGGCCTTTTTATTATGCCTAATGTACCCTCCAAAAGGGATTGGTAGGGTCTCGAAGTTTTTATATGGATGAATTTTAACGCGCATTTCGATTAACTCTTAGCTTGGTATTGTTACTTAAGACTCAATATTGAATAATGTGTATCAAGTTTGCTAGAAAATCTACCACTAAGAGGGTATAAAAGATGAAAGTTAAAAATGGGGATTAAAAAACTTATTTTTTGCGTTAATAGACTTAAAACTGGACTCAAATCAAAACCGTAAACAGGCTGATAAAAAGTCAGATCACTTATTCTACGTGTACCAAGTTGCAGGCAAAATCTAGTTATATAAGTAAAAGGTGGCAAAAACCACATGACAGTAATTGTCCACTATAGCCTATAGATGCTTGCTATACTTAGAAGTAGTCACTCGGATCTCAATCCGATATTACGTATCTTTATTAATAGTGTTACAATTAAAATATCCGAACATCAAGTTCTTTCCCCTAAATAAATTGGTAGAAAGATTTTTCCAAAACACCATACCAAAGCAATATTTTCTGAACTGAAATGTTTTACCTATAATTGCCAGTTTTGTGCAATAACAAATTATTCTGTGTGTTTTCTATGAATAGTGTTAATAATGATGATTGATTTGGAAATATAGTAAATAAATAAAACCTCATGCTACCGCGACCTCAATGGCCGTATCGAATTTTTTCTAGTGTTTCTTAGGTTGCAAGGCAGCGTCGTCTCCTTGCATTGTAGGTAACCCACAATGTCAACGAAAAGTATTAAACATTTGAAAGAAGAAATAGCTATTGTAGTTTAATATATTTTATTTTTAGGCAGTTACATTGCTAATTGTTTAAGTGTAACCGCCCAGAAAGCGGAGGGTGCGGGTTTGAGTCCCGTCTGCTGCTTTTTTGATTTTATAATATAATAAATAAATCCTTTATCAGTATTTTTAATTTGTTACTGTTGGAACATCGGTGTTTTACTAAATAATTTGCTTTACAGGAAATCTTAGTAGACGTAGACAATCAAGTAGCTGCTAAAGAAAGGGAGGACAGAAAATTAGAAATATACCACCGGATCGACGCGAAGTCATTCGCTAACTTCCGGGGACGCAAATTCAAAAAGAGCGACATACTTCAGGGCAATAGGAGTTTGAAGTAAGTTTGTTACACGAAATTCTGAAATAAATATATTTCTTTTGATGTTTTATGTCAGTTTGAGAAAACAGAAGGTATTAGTGAATTTAATTATAAGACGCCGATAAAGAATGAAATGAAATGAAATGTTTCTATTTTTTTTATCAAGAGTAAATATGGCCAGTGTAACCAGACTGATTACAAAATTTCACATTTCAACGCAAATTATTTGCTTTATCACTTCTCTTCAATTTAGTGGTATTATGATGCGTTCAAAGTTTTTGAATAGCTACAGTTTTAGGTCTTGCTATTGTCCCTATTTTTAATTATAATTTTAAGCGTATTAATTTCGAGCTATTGAAAAGCCTTTTTATGGTCGTTTACGTTTTGTCGCAGAGGAAGTTGAATAGAGTATAATCTACAATGGCGACGCAGAATGTTCTATCCCACGCACGTTTTGATTCGTATCTTTATTGTCTCGAGTCATACTTTTGCACGCCTCACAACGCGTAAGCGTATGGGAGTGCTTTACTCTCGGTAGACCGCTATGTGACGATTTTACAATATAAAATCGCTCTTATCTCCCAAGTTAGACACTAAATCAATAAAAAAGGGATGTTTTGAAAACTAGACATATTAAATTATAAAGTCAGCGTATTTTTCATTTATTTTTTTAGTATATATAACAAAAAAATGTATTTGTTTCTTAGGTTTTCACGCACATCACTCTAAAAAAATGTAGTTAAAAAATTATTAGTCCGTTGGTCTGTGCACTTGTCTGCCTGCACGTTTTAGAAAAATATACGTAATTGATTGTAATAAATCCTTTTGAATTAATTTCCACTTATGCTGAGGATGGACCTTATCTACTATATAAAAATAAGTCGGGTTTTCCTTCCTGACGCTATAACTCCAGAACGCACGAACCGATTTCCACGGTTTTGCATTCGTTGGAAAGGTCTCGGGCTTCGTGAGGTTTATAGCAAAGAAAGTTCAGGAAAAATTAAAAAAAAAATATATAAAAATAAGTCGGGTTTTCCTTCCTGACGCTATAACTCCAGAACGCACGAACCGATTTCCACGGTTTTGCTTTCGTTGGAAAGGTCTCGGGCTTCGTGAGGTTTATAGCAAAGAAAGTTCAGGAAAAGTTAAAAAAAAAAAACTTCTTTTAATCACCAAACGAAATGTTACATAAAACGAAGCCATCTGGTGGCGAAACGGAGTTCGCCGGGTTTGCTAGTTTCTTATATATATGATTGAACTGATAACCGTTTTAAAGATATTAATGAAATTCAATGGAATTTGTTTACTGGGTTTCTGTTTCGTGAATGTGAGGCGTGCACTTTTGGATATTCCATTTTTTTTACTTTTGCAAAATAATTAACATGATAACCGCGATATACCTAATATCTATCACGTTTTGATCACGCTTCATTGTCTAAGCACTATGGATTTTAACTGTAAAATGTGGTAAAAACCTTATGTAACAATTGCTGATATTGCGGCATTAGGAATGAGTACAATTTTTTTTTTTCATCTATTAGGTAGATTATCAAAATGTACACGAATAAGTAATGGACACGAATTTAATTGTTATTTTTTTAACATAATCCAAACATTACAGAGATGTATTGATTTGAAATATCGCGTGATGTCACGTATACATTTTTTACTAAAAAGTGACGTCACCCTAAATCCCAAAATTTGACGCGCTTTATCTTTGAAAATTTTTCGTTGATTGAGAAAAGAAAGAATAAATATCCATTATTTTTTGATAATCTAACTGACAGACTAAATATCATTTCATTTACTTTACCCAGTCATTGGTGTCAATTCTGACATGATCCTCTAGACTTAATTTAACATCAGTCTCTCTTTTTCATTCTGTATAGAGAACGAAACTTAAATTTGACAACAGTACACTGTTGTCAAAGTTTAGGTTTAGAGAATCATGTTAGAATCGACACCATTATCTATATTCTACCTTATAGTGGTTAAAGTTTTTAATAAATGATTGAGATAGGATGACAACTTATCAATATTTTGACCAAGTCGATATTATAGGATATTTATGTAATATCATTAAATATATCATGCTGAATTCAACATGGAAATTCAATGTAACGTTTTGTTCCAGATTCGAGGGAGTAGCGACATTAATGCAAGGCCGAAGCAAAATGCAGACGTTACTTGTTATAGTGTTGACCGACGTTTTATTCTTCCTACATGACAATAACAACAAATATACGTTCTTTACGCCTGACAATAAGGTATAGTTTCCATTGTCACGTTGGGGTTGCACAGGGTTCAATATTGGGTCCTTATACTTTTGCACCTATGAATTTGCCAAATCAAAACCGTAGGGTGTTTTAAAACCATCTTTATTGTTGAAGTTGATTTGAAATGAGTTTGGTATTCATAATTATAGATTCCGTCTTGAGTTTACAGTATCAAGTTGAGATGTTTTTTTTATAATTTATGTCTTCAAAGTTCTACTATTCTTTATAAGTAACCTTTAATCATTCTTACTTATATAGCAGCTTTGATTCATAATATGTTCCCAAAGGGTAAATTCTGTCACGATTCAGGTCCATTAAGCACTTTGATTAAAGAGTGAATAACTTGCTAAATATGACGTTTATAAAAATGGCGGTGTTAGTTCCAATTGTCGCCACGTTCAAAGAAGATTGTCTTATCGCATTATAGAGAGTTCTAGAATAAGGTCTAAATATCATTTTAGTTAATGAAAACAACACATTTTGTCCAGACTGGGGTGGTTTCACTAGTAAAACTATTGGTTCGCGAGAAAGCGGGTGCGGAAGGACGGGGCTTATACTTAATATGCAGTGGACCGGCGGAACCGGAAATGTTCGAATTGAGGGTGCACAGACCTAAAGATATACAAGGCTGGATTCAGGCTATCAGGTGAACTATATTTATTTATTACTTATGTTTTTATTTTTTTAAGCATTTAACTGCTAGATGTTTATATCTAAGGAAGAGTTTACTAGAAGAAATTCCACGTGGACCAGCCAGGAAGCAGGACTCGAAGCCGCTTTTTCCCTATCCAGGCGAATGCACTGACAATTATGCTACCGCGGCCCTGACGGCCGTGTCGAATTTTCTCAAGCCTTAGGCTCCAATGCAGCGCCATCTCTTCGCATTGTAGGTAACCCACAATGTCAAATGATACCTTTCCTAGTATTAAACATTTGAAAGAAGAAATAGCAATTATAGTTATATTTTAAACATTTAACTGCTAGATGTTTAAATCTAAAGAAAAATCTGCAGCCTGGTCCGTGTGGAATTTTTCTAGTAAAATTTTCTTTAGGTATAATAATAGATGTTCTTTTTTGAGTATGTAACAGAAACCTAACATTTTCCTGTAATAAAAAGTATCCTATTATGTCAATACTAGGTCGTAAATTATATATGTATATCAAATTTTATCCACTTCCGTTCAGCCGTTTTTATGTGAGTGAGTAACAAATATACAAACTGAAGTTTCATATTTACAATATTAGTAGGATTTAACACAACTACAGGCGGGCTATACGCTTGTTTGCCACCCTTATTACCTAAAAAAATCATTAATAGGCTTTGAAAACAATAGTTCTAATCTTTTGTAATATGGTACCTTTCTAACGCCGCTTCCTATATACTAAATATAAACTATAAAATTTATTGTAACTATAACTATATCCTAAATGATTTAATGGAAGGTCACTCCAGAAGTATCTCTGAAGTCATTTTTCAATTTGACATCTCTATAAATAATAAAACAGGGAGAAAAAAACGATTGTAACAGCCTAAACTGAATAAATGATTTTGATTATGTTTATTGCTCCACGGGGTAGGTGATTGAGTCAGGTTAGGCAACGGAGCGAGTGATATTTTTGTATCTTAAGCGTCTATAGGCTAATTAAATGGTGGCAGCTTACCATTAGGCGGGCTATACGGTCGTTTGCCACACTTTTAACATAAAAAAGAACTATTAATAGGCTTTAAAACAATAGTCCTTATCTTTTGGCTTATATAGAACGGCAGTACAGAACTGTCCAGAAGAGGAGAAGGAACCGGATGCAACTTCGTTAGCGCCATCTGCCGACGAGCGACAACGGCAGCTCGAAGTGCGCCACGAGAATATAAGACTGATCACAGGTAATAATAATTTAATTAATAATATTTCCCACACTACACACCAATTAGCCTAACCCCAATGTTGCATACATTGGGGTTAGGTTGTTCCCTTAGCACGAACCAATATCGAATGGTTTGCGAGTGCGAAATGTCATTGTCAAATTTTATATGGAAACTTGAACTGCAGCGCCACAACGGACGTAACGAGAACTAAAAATCAGTACACATTTGACGTATAAAATAGATCGAATTCAACTAATCGAAAGCAATAATGGTTCATACTAAGGCTTGTGTAATGGGATGATGATGATTTGATACATATTTAATGAGTATATTTTTATAGACATATAATAAACATCCACGACTAAGTTACAAGTGATCGTATTCATCATACTAACATTTGCCCCCACCGGGATTCGAACGCGGGATCTCTGAGCAGGCGACGTTATGAAATCTGGCGTATTTACTACTCGGTGACGGAGGTCGTCAATCCGTACGCTGTACGACAAACGCACCGCTTCGGCACCGCAGCAGGCCGTCAAGAAACGCATAAATTGAAAGCGCCCTAATAAAGGCCGTAACATGATCCCAAATTCATACAGATAAACTTCAATACTAACGCGACACACACAGACAAAACAAAAAACTTTGACCAATCAAATATCTGCAAATGAATTCGACTATCCATTTATTGGGTAACATAATGTTAAACTGAATTCCTAACCAATTCCATGATCGCTGTGTTGATCGCATTTTTCGCGCCCCGTCTACATGATCGCAGTTGGCGTGGCGCCACTTGTTAGTGCAGATCGTATTCCATATTATTTCTAATTCTTTGGTTTCGTACCTCGAAACTAATAAAAAACAGAATCCTAATAGGACTAACCCGTCTGTCTGTCTAAAAATGTGTTTGAATATGCCATAATGCATTGTGTAAAATCGGTTTGGAACTCACTGGTTGAAAGGTTTCATAGTTTACAAGGGACATTGGTCGAAATAATGTTTGTGTTTTATTAATTAAGATAATTAGGCTTATCCCGAAATATGCGTAAACTGTTATTTATGCTTTTAGTTTTTTTTAAACCTCTAGCTATTTACTATGTATAGGTATTATATTTATATAAATTCGATTTTGTCGACAAGCAGATGACACTCCGTGGTGGCAAATAGAAGGTGAAACTGTTATTCACAGTCATATAAATGTTGATTATTGCATGAATATTCTTTGTTTGATCGATTCTTAAGTAACTAAGACCTAATTTTGAATACCAAATCGTTAATCGTTAGCTAGAATTGCATTTTCGTTCCATTTAGCAATAAAATGTAGTTAGTTTTGTATAATAGTAAATTAAAAATAATCCGTTTAAAATGCTTTATCTATCAACATTAATAAACAGTATAAACAATTGTTCAATAAATAGAGAGATTAAATTATAAGTTATGCTTCAATTAATGCATGGAATACAACTTCTTTTTCTTCTAAAACCGTAAGAATAAGTTACTTAAATAGGAAATGTATTCTCAAAAGTGTTTAAAGATAGAGCATGCTAAGTAGTGTACTTAGTTCTTTAATATTACCATGATTCTGTTCGTGTGGGTCATCTTAATTTAACTCGAAAATTATGTATTCGTAGTATGTTGTGTTTAGATAAACTTCATAATTATTCGATAGTAGCTTAAGTCGAGACAGTATATTTATTATTCAGTTATTGAAGCTTAATTATATTTTTTTTAATTTAACAAATTCCGCGTCTAATATTTGAAGATATTTATTTATTAATACATTGCACGCATACTAGAAACTCGTGATATTAAATAAAAATATAGGTGTTTCCATTGTATAATAGTTATTTATGCAACTTTTGTACTTAGTGATAATAGTGTCATATGAGTGTTTTAATACATAATTATTAACAGTTGCATACAAAACTTTATCTACACCCATGAATCCTCTTTAAAAGTTACTGAAACCATGGGAAGTTCTAAAAACTTTATATTCATTAAAGTTTCGGCGCTGTAGCGGTGAAACGCGCGTAAATAACAATGTTTTTTAACTCCCTTAATAATTAACGAAGACTACGCTTGGATTACTAACTCCATGTTTTGTCTTTGTCCATTGAATGACGAATAGCATTTGAGTGACATGAACAAAACACGACGTAACTAGTCTTAAGCTTATTCCTTGTTTATTAATAAGGGAGTAAATGTTTTAATGTTGTCAATAGGCAATTTGACAGTATGAAACATAATGTACCAATTGCTGGCATCTGTATTTAATGTGAATATAAGCAGCGATTTTACTATTCTGAGAGAACAAATAATTAAAAACTTTTCTACAAAATCATTAAATAGAAATTATTTTTTTTGCACATGGTCACGCGACCGAAAACGCCTGGCATTGGCCGAGACTGAAATGACGTCACACGCTAGTTTAGTTCCAGCCAAAGTGCCATTATTGTATCGTGTGATGTTTAATTGACTGTCGTGTGACGTCACACTACTGAGACGCCATAATGCTCAAAGAAACATTTCCGCGGCAACTTGAAAGTTGAATTTTTAATTTAGTTTTTTTACTGAATTACACAACAGAATTAAAATTTTCCACGTAAGTAATAGTAAATAACGTTAGATCGTTTTCTAAAACTTGTCAAATACTTCATGTTATGTTATGTTTCAGAATCTTTAATAGAGGTTTTAAAGCATGACTGTAGATAAAATATTGTATTACAGAGTATTCATAAAATTATTTGTTTGATATTATACCATCTCACCATTAATAAACGCGTTTATTCTTACAGAGGCATTAAGAGTTAAAGACAGAGACCACGCGGCCTTGCTGGAAGAGAAAATGACGTTGCACATGAAAATGGCGGCCCATACCGGAAACTATCAGCTTGATGTGCCAAATACAGGTATAATTAATCTTTTCTTCTTTTTCTTTCTTTCGTCACAGTGGCGCCAACTGGTGACGTAAATTTTTCTAAACACCCTCATTAGCCTAGCCTCAAAGTAAGCACTGGCTTATTTTAATAAGGCTTTGAGGCTAGGCCTTGTGATATGGGATACAGTGTGATTAAAACTTAATAGCAAGCAAGCAAATGAAATGTCGAGTGATGTAGGTACGTGCGGTTTATTTACTTATTTAAACTTTTTTGACCAAAATACAAGAATACAAAAAATAGATGTTGTCCGACTCTCAGACCTACTAAACGTGCATATAAAATTTCACGAAAAACGTTTGAGCCGTTTCGGAGTAGTTCAATTACGCACACCGTGACACGAGAATTTTATATATTAGATTTTTATATTGTTTATCACAGGAGTTGACGCCACATTCCCCGGTGGATTAGTGTTCCCGGAGTACGTAAGACTAGCAGCACCTTCACCGGATACGCACGCTTTATGGCAGGAAGTCTGCAGAGTTGTTAAGGTCAGTGGTGTATAATATGTTTATTTATTATAAATAAAAAAAATATTTCCAACACTCATACCAATTAGCTTAGCTCCAAAGCAAGCATGGTATGGCTTGTGTTATGGGATACTAGGGTGACGGATATAATATATACACTGTACATAATAATTATATTTTTATAGAAAAACATATTAAACATCCATGACTGGAGTACAAATACTCGTACTCATCACACAAACATCTGCCCCCACCGGGATTTGACCCGGGACCTCTCGAGTCGGCGACACCATGAAACCCGGCGTACAAACCACTCGGCCACGGAGGTCGTCAAATTTATCATTTATTGATGTGTAACATCTTTCCTCTCACTTTCGTTCAATTTGTGGGAATGAATACGTGAAGTGGGACGGAAGTGTGTAGCAGGAAGTCGCGAAAGCGCGCGCTATTTGATTTGATTTTAGAACATAATGTTCAAATGGCTTATTTCTTTTGTAGTAGGTTTTATTACATTTTTTACTAATATAAGGTGAGGTTTCAAATGTTTCACATCATACGCGACTACTGTAAGGCTCGCTCGTTTTTTGTTTTATTTTTAATTTTGTCACCACAGGAGGCCCTAGAAGCGTCCAGCGGTACTTGGACCGCGGGCGGAGCCCTGGGGCGAAGCACTAGTTCCGCGGGCGAGAGACATTCGCGGGCCTACGAGAGTCCAGCGTTGCCACGAAGGGCGGACACTTTCGCTGGATTCGATCATAGCAGACATAGAGGTATGCATCTTAAAAATCAATTTACCCTTTTGGAAAGGCAAAGAGCATAGCACATACAGCCTCTTCCTGTACAAAATCTTTTATTTTTTCATCTTATAAAAAAGTATAAATTAATCATTCGTCAATGTAGGTGAAGGCAAAGAAATCCTACAGACTTGCCAATAAATTTGTTGTTTTTATTTATTATAAAATCACTTAAACTAGTTTTCTTAGTGTTTGGCATCTACTAGTCAGAAAAGGAATCAGTTGAAAACCAGCGTTAGTGTAAACTGACACAATGCTGAACTGGGTCCTTCTCGGTCCAGCAATGGATACATTTTATGTAATGTAAATATATATGTGTGTATAAGTTTAACCATTTGTCTGTGTGTCCATGACTGTTCCAAATAAATGTTTTTAATTTGATTTTGATCATTTGCCGGCTCTTCACTTGGCTATTCGTGTTTGGTATTTGCAAACTTAACATCAGCCTCTCCTTCTTATTCCTTATAAAGCATGATAAGGACAGACTGTTGTCAAATTTACAAATAGCAAATACGAATACAGAAGTGAAGAAGTGGCGGTTTTTTTTTTAAATTAAATCAATAATTTTAACACTCGCACTTATTAGCACTGTGAACGAAGAAAACATTAAAGAGTAACTTGAAACGAAATCTCTGTGATAAAATGTCATAAATTTCCTTACTTTTTGTAAGGAAATTTTACTAGGAAACAATCCACTAGGACCAGTGCCCTGTTCATCAAAGCTTACAAGAGTTGAATTACAAGCAATTTGCCTGTAAAAAAATCATTATAACAAGTATGTGTTTATCAAAAGTACACATATAAATTACGGGTTAAAGTGTCATTATTTTTTTTACGCGTGATTTTATTCATCAAAAAATTCTTTGTATCCTAAAACTTTAAAAATCATGAGAAATCTGTTCTGTATATCAAAATTTATAAGTCTACACGTTCAAAAATGACAAGAGTGTTTTTAACAAGTTCGTGTTAATTATGTTTATCAAAAATAAAATATTACAATGTTTGTACAATTTTATGCTTGTAAATTCTACTTGTAAGTTCTAACGTCAAAAAGTATTCAGTATTTTTCTCTCCATGTTATTGAACTCCGGTTCCCAAAATTGTGGCAAAATAGAATTAAACCCAATAAACCTTAGATAATTTACGATCCGAGGCTCAAGCGCAATTTTTTGACAGCTCCGTAACTATGAATATCCTTGTCTATGAAAACTAAGCAGCCCTATCAGATGTAAGAACAAACTATATTTTTCCATACAAATTTTCACGATGACAGTACATTACGGAGCTGTCAAAAATTCGTGCTGGGATGTTTGTATGTTCTCGATTCCAATGTACTAATATTTCCTTAATCGCTTGAATCACTTGAGAACATTTTTAAAAAAATCTCAAAATCTAATGCGGTACTTAGTATGCTGCGTCACTTGTAAACTTGTAAAATGAATTAGAGAGTCGTCGGACACACTCGGAACCTGTGTTGTTTTCCTAAAGTTGTAGCTTACAAGAGATTTTTTGATGTACAAAATCACGTGTTTAAAAATATTATTGTAAAAAAGTAAGTCGTAATTTACAAATGTAGTTTTGATAAAAACGTAGGTAATTTTAATAATGATTATTTAAAAGAAAAACGTTTATAAAATAACACATGGTTTGCAAGTTTTGATAAACTGTGCACTGATAATGTTCCGCGCTCTATTTCATCTTACAAGGACGGACGGACGGTTTTGATTTTAGCATCTACAAGCTTAAAATTTTAGAAACGATGTATTTTTTTTTATAAACGTAATTTACAGGCACTTGTAGAGTGTTACTTGTGAACGTGTAGACTTGTAGTTTTGATGAACTGTACCCCTAGCACGAACCAATGTCGAGAAAAATATTTTTTATTATTATTTTCCGTGACAGGTGTGCCCCGACTATCGACCGAGACCCCCGTGGAAGGGGACCCCGTCGGCGATGTGAACGAGCCTCGCCTGTTGGAACAACTAGGGGGATCGGCCGCGTTGAGATTGCAACATGCTATATATACACTGACCTGCATCGTATGGCAGCAATTGACGACTATACACAGGTATATGTCGAGGAGCTCGATGACGCAGGTGGTTAGCGCGTTCGGCTGCGATCGTTGAAGTTAAGCTAAGTTAATTTTTGGTCACCCATCCAATGACCGGCCACTGCCAAAGTTGCTTAAGTTCAACGATCACAGCCGAACGCGCTAACCACTTGCGCCATCGAGCGCCTCATATATGAATATATATACGGTACATACACCAAAATATCATATTTTACAATTTTTGTCTGTCTGTTTGTTCCGGCTAATCTATGAAATGGCTGGACTGATTTTGACGGGACTTTTATTGGTAGGTAGCTGATGTAATAAGAAGTAACTGAGGCTACTATTATTTTAGAAAAAAAAATTTATAGCAGAAAAAATACACAAAGTTAACGCGGACGAAGTCGCAGGCGGCCGCTAGTAAATTATGATAGCCGCTAGTAATTCTGGTCGTAGTTATAGAATATCAAAATTTTATAACCGTTGTTACAGTTTGGAAGCGCAAGTTTGTGCGTGGCGATCGAGCGGTGGTAACGCGTCGAGATCTCACGACGCACAATTAGAGGAACTAAGGCATGCTCAAGCAAAACTTACGGCCGATAGGGCTTCCTGGGAAGCTATGAGGGCCGCCGATAGAGCCGCCATTGCATTGGGTAAGATCTGTTTTTAGTGTGAAAAAAAAATCTGTAAAACTAAGAAAACCATAGACACAGGACCGAAACCCGTCGAGATCTCACGACGCACAATTAGAGGCACTAAGGCATGCTCACGCAAAACTTACGGCCGATAGGGCTTCCTGGGAAGCTGTGAGGGCCGCCGATAGAGCCGCCATTGCATTGGGTAAGATCTGTTTTTAGTGTGAAAAAAAAATCTGTAAAACTAAGAAAACCATAGACACAGGACCGAAACCCGTCGAGATCTCACGACGCACAATTAGAGGCACTAAGGCATGCTCAAGCAAAACTTACGGCCGATAGGGCTTCCTGGGAAGCTATGAGGGCCGCCGATAGAGCCGCCATTGCATTGGGTAAGATCTGTTTTTAATGTGAAAAAAAATCTGTAAAACTAAGAAAACCATAGACACACGACCGAAACCCGTCGAGATCTCACGACGCATAATTAGAGGAACTAAGGCATGCTCAATCAAAAGTTACGGCCGATAGGGCTTCCTGGGAAGCTATGAGGGCCGCCGATAGAGTTGCCATTGCATTGGGTAAGATCTGTTTTTTTAATGTGAAAAAATGATTGTAAAACTAAAAGAACCGTAGACACAGGACTTCGTGGGAACTGGGAAGCCACGTGAGCTGCCGATAGAGCTGCCATTGCATAGGGTAAGAGCTGTGTTTTAATGTGAAAGAATAGACTGTAAAGCTACGGAGTACACGTAACTGACGAATTAGGATCCTCCTCCTTTTTGAAAACAGTTAAAAAGTTAAAACGATGGTTAGATTAACTGCTAAGTGGGAAGTTATGAGGGCCGTTTATTTAGCCGCCATTACATTTTGTATTTTTGTATTTGTATTTTTTGTATATTATTGGTCGCTCGTGTTTCACCACTTTACATTAGCAAGCAAGAATACAAGTAGCCTCCGGTAGGTAGTATGTAGATAATCAAAAATAATGACTTTGAACATAAAACGGATATAATAAAATGTTTTCAACCGTAAACAACCGCTGTTTATGACAGATCAGCGAAAAAAGCGGTTATTATCGGCTGGCCGAAAACGATAACAACCGCCTTTACATCCATAGTCCCATCTATCCCTGTATAAAAAAAACAGCATAATAGATTCATTGGTTTAGCCATAAAAGCGATGGAATGCGGCGAGATCTTCCGACGGTTTTATTTATTTCTTTATGTGAAAAAAATATCTATGAACCTTAAGAGAACAAAAGACCTATGTAAATGCTTCGTGGGCTGCCGCTGGAGCCTTGGGTAAGACCTGGTTTTTGATGTGAAAAAAATAATTCTTAGCTTGAGGAGTGCGCATCAAAAGTGATAAACCATCGGTGCAGATCGCTTACAGAGCCACCATTTTTTTATCTCCCATTTCACTCCTTTCAAGCTTGTTTTCGCAGCAAAAAGGACCTTGTAACCTTATCCAGAGTCCTATCTATCTCTATACTGAAATTTGTGTAATAGGTTCCGTGGTTTAGGCCTGAAAATTTAACCAAATTTGTGCGTTGCGCGGTAGAAAAAATACTATCAGATCTCACGACGCACAATTAGAAGAACTAACCGTGCTCCAGCAAAACATCCTGTAGTTTTTTTTTATAGATAGGTCCGACATATGACTCCACCCCACCTGATGTTAAGTGAAGGTGAAGTCCAGACGCGAAAATAGATAGATTGGGCTTCGTGGGAAGCTATGAGGGCCGCTGATAGAGCCGCCATTGTATTGAGTAATTTCTGCTTTTTTGATATGAAAAAATAAACTGCCAGTCTTAGTTATACGAGGATCAGACGTGAAAACGTAACTTTCCTTAAATTGGTTACCGACATAAAACTTCATCCCCCAATTTACTCCTTCTAAGTTTTGTTTTCAGATAAAGTTAATTATCTTCGAGGATTTTGGAAGCCGTCCTCTTCTGGCTGCTTTGCAACTTTAAAATATAGCATTATCAGAACCCTTTTGAAATATTTTCATTATGATAATCAATCATTAACCATATCAAAACTCCTTGCATGGTTTTATAAAAATTAGCAGATAAACAATGTATGATTATTCCAAACATAAAGTTCATCATTTATGATATCATTTTGTTACAACAATGCTTTGATGTTGCTATTCAAGACTTGAGTTTGAAGGATATAGTCGGCAACACAAATTCAAGAAAAAATCCAACAACACACAACAATCACAATATTTTTTTTATGATTTACGGAATACTTGCAACAACCCTTCTACAATATTTCTTTTAACCTCCAAATATATTAAACTAATTTGAACCTTACGTCCTTGTTAATAGAGAAACGTCAACTACAAGCGGCGCGGGAAGAATTGGCGGAAAAACAGAAGGACGTAGAACAACAACGGGAAAGGCTGTACAGAAGGCTGGAGAGATTACAGCAGCACGGTTAGATATTATTTATCTTAATTCGTAAGAAATAAAAAAACCTAGTGTCGCTTTGTATAAAGTGTAGTGAGGCCTGTTAAGTAAGATTTAGCGGAACAACAGAAGGACGTGAAACAACAACGAGAGAGGCTGGAAAGATTACAGCAGCACGGTAAGCGATTATATATCTTAATTCGTATGCAATGGGAACCGTTTAGCCTTGACAAGTGTAGTGACAGTTTAGACAGAGTTAACGTGGATAAAACGGTAGAGACAGTATAGGAGGCTGGAGAGATTACGGCAACATGATGAGGGAATTTGTATCTTAATTAGTACACAATAGGGAAAATAACTAACTTTTTTTCTAACAGGTAGATTATCAATAATGGACACGTATTTTTTTCTTTATTCGCATAAACAAAACACTATAGAGATAGGTATATGGATTTGATTGGTCGCACCGGCCCCACTCCCAAACTTTGACGCTCCTTATCTTTGTATTTTTTCGGTTGATTGACAGAAAAAAAGGGTTCATTATTTATTGATAATATGATGTAACTGACGGATCAATAGATTTCCGTTTACTTAAGGCCGTCGTAATCCCTATTAGAATTGTACCCCTAGCACGAACCATTATCGAATTCTAATAGTTTGCAAACAGAAATGTCAATGTCAAATTTTGTATGGAAACTTGAACAGCAGCGGCATAAAGTACGTAACGAGAACTAAAAAATCAGTACACATTTGACAATGACATTTCTGACTCGCAAACGATACGAATTCGATATTGGTTCGTGCTAGGCGTACTGAATTGGCTAACATATAGTGAAAAATCTGTCTACTAGTTAAAAATAGAAAGGGATTAAGGGAATATGTACCTTAATGACTGACGAATAGAAACTGATTAGCCTTGCTCAAAGTGTAGTGACAGCGATATTTCTTAGTTAAATATAATATTTTTAAGTCTAAAACGGTCAGTAAAGTTTAGTTAATAATCAAACTCCAATAAGAGATAGCCAATTAGATCTTTCTTGCCTAGATATATTTAAAAATTACATTATAATAACAACTGATGCCACGAAACGGAACCAGATAAGTCTTACATTTTACTGGATGTTGATTATTGACCTGGCTATAAGTCAAGAGTTCCAATCTCATCATCATCATCAGCCTATTAATGTCCCCACTGCTGGGGCTCAGGCCTTCCCTATGGATGGAATAGGAAGATTGGGCCATGACCCACCACACGGGCCCAGTACGAATTGGCGGGTGCTAAAACTGCAGATGCAGTCGGGACCAACGGCTTAACGTGCCTTCCGAAGCACGGAGGAACTAGAGATAGAAGATTTTTGGTCACCCATCCAATGACCGACCACTGCGGAAGTTGCTTAACTTCAACGATCGCAGCCGAACGCGCTGTCCACTTGCGCCATCGAGCTCCTCAATCCAATCTGTACTCTTTAATTTATAGTGTGTTATGTCTGTAAAGAAATCTATCATACCTAGGACTTATCCTTTATTAAGTCTTGCTCTCCCGCCATACCAAATTGCATCACTGCTTTCGTTGCATAGTCATCTTTGATGATGAAAACTATGTAGTAACCAAAAAATGTTTTTGTGTGTAGGAGGATCACAAGAAGAGATAGCGAGTGTCGGCACTTTATCACCAGACTCCACAGTCACAGACACCACTCGGCGGAAAGAACCAAAATGGCGAAGTGAGTTACTTAACATTATATTATTTATTTCTAGCTCCTCTAGTAAAGGGTCTAATAGGGTATTTGACAATGTTAAAAATAAAGTGTCAAATACATCTGTGTTTAGTCCGAGTCCGAGTAGTGGAAGGTGCAGGTTCTAATCCTGTTTGTTGCCTAAATCACGTGGAATTTTATAGTAAAACTAGTGGCATCAAAAGTGATGCGTCTATACAAACAATGCATTTCACTATTGATCATTTACAAAATATTACAAAAATGAATCACTTTAGATGTCCAATTCCTCCTTTAGGGTACTTCAACAACATTAAATTTATTTACTTTCAAAACTTGCGCTAGTTTTACCGTAGTTAATTGATTTATTGTCTTCCTCACTGGCCGCTCAGATAACCGCGGCTCGACGGGCTCAGAATCGTCTGCCGTCGGGACTCTACCACCGCCACAACTGCTGTCCGCGCACAACGAGACCAGAGCCACGGCACGAGCGCCCGCCATATCGGTCAGTGACCCTATATCTATCTATCTATTTATGCCCCAACTACTGTCCGCGCACAACGAGACCAGAGCCACGGCACGAGCGCCCGCCATATCGGTCAGTGACCCTATATCTATCTATTTATGCCCCAACTACTGTCGGCGCACAACGAGACCAGAGCCACGGCACGAGCGCCCGCCATATCGGTCAGTGATCTATCTATTTATTGAAGTGAATCTTCTATATGTATAAACGGTGATTATTAGGATTTTGCTGTGACGAAAAAGCGTGGAGGGAGAAGATGTATCGCACGATGAGAGATAAGCAGCGACGGAGGGAGAGAAATAGGGATGGGGTATTCAATGATGAATGAGAAGCGAGTAGACCTGGAAAGTAGAAACGAATGGACGATCAGCAGGAAGCGATTGTGAATTTATTCTCTTTTATTTTATTTTGTTTCTGATGGGGAATCTTTCTCCATTATTACCTCCCTAGTCGGAAACGGAGACTTAACATCTATGTTGCGATCGCTCCGTGACAGCAAAAAAGGTCGGAATAAAAAAGCACGAAATCTCATAAATATGTCTGTACATATTATAGTTATCATACAAGGCTAAAAGTTACAAAATTGCATTAAACTTATTTAGTAGGTATTAAAAAATAACATCATTGTTTCGAATTAAAATCGATTAACGAACGCCTTTATTCTTTCTCCATAGCAAATGGTGAAACAGCAGTTGCCTCTGAAGTTAGCGAGTGGTAAAACTCAACAGCAACCTCCTCCAGGTTACCACAGACTCCACGAATCGCCGAGCGAGGTAAAAACATCTTTATTGTCTCCGATTTTGGGTTTAATTTACCCGTTTTTTAAATCCATCATGAGTTATACTATCAATGGATCAAGATTTATTACGAACCAAAGAGTTTTGTATTCATATTTAGTTTTTAATGTTACAGTTATTATAATTATTTAGTCATATTTTCTATATTGTTACGAATCTCATTCGCAAATAGTTTAGCTTGCGTGGTATTGTGTATTATTTATATTTCCAACCTTATTGATTTTGAAAAATAAAGATAGATAACATAAACATTAAATTCTTAAGAAATTAGTGAGTTAGCGCATATCATGATTTGACAATTATCAAGGCTAAACTCCTTAGTGTGTATGTTTTATGAATAAAAATATTTATCTATCATTTGAATTCAACTACCCTAGATTTTTATAGAAATACCATTTTGTGTCCCAGTTTAGACAAGATTTTTTTAATCACTGTGTCCTGAAACAGATCAAAATGGTTGACTCTTTGTACGGACATTTCAGGACGTGGACTATCCGAACGTATTTTAACGTAAATCGGCAAATTTGTAAATTTAAGTAAGTAACTTGGTGTCGAGTAGACTATTCCAAATTTGTTGTTGTGTTTCGACCGAACACTATGTTGTACTATTTGGTTGATAACTTTGTTCAAATCAGTTGATTAATTGTGATAACTACCCAAAACGACCGCTGAACTTTTAATAATAATAACACGTTTGGTTATACAAAATTGTCAAAGAAATTGAACTGAAGAAGGCGCTTGTGCTTAGAATCAAAGGTGATGGTTCAAAAGTGGTAGTCTGTTTCCGGCAGCGACTAAACATATATATTAGGAAAGCTTGTTTAATATTATAACATGAACTTGGGATGCTTTTATTTTTCATTGATCTCAGATTTATTTTGAATCGTGTATAATATTTTTTTTTGTAATGATGCTGGCCACACTGTTATAATTAACGTCATATTTTTAGTGTGTGGTAGATGATTACGTGTAATCAATAAACTATTTTATTTTATTGCCTCCACATTATGAGTCACTTATTAAAGCGTACTACATATAGAAAAAATAAAATTACAAGTATGTATCTTAAAATAACATTTAGTGGAGGCAAAAGGACGAGGCTCAGCGTAAGCGAAACCAAGGTATGTCCTGGTCCGTGCTGCTTTATGCACTATGGCAAATGACAATCAGTTCAGTCATGCATCATATTCGTGAAATCGTGGTGAACTTGATAAACAAAATGATTGATTCTTCTTGAAATAAAATACCCAGAAAATACCTGATAATGCAATGAAGAATCGTTATCACTGCTTTAGTTACCTCTTGAATAGTTTAAATTTGATGCCTTAGCAACAAAAAGTAGATAGATAAACTTGCCATTTGCCAGTAAAGAATAATATAATTTTATGTCATAATAATTATTAAAAAAACCGGAATGAAATGAATTTTACTTTTTTGTCACAAAAGAAGATACTACGCTCCATACAAATTTCAACCGCCTCCTTTATAACCGATACAACCAAAACGCGTTTAACTTTTGGATTTCTATCAATACGTTGTTATTTGATACTCGCTTAAAAAATAGGTGAATTTTAATGGTTGAAATCTCCGCACATCATTTCATTAATATTCTTTAGATTTTAAACAAACTAAGCATTTAAAAATATTGCGTGGAAAATCGGAAAACCCTTTTTTCTATCTGATTTTTATCTTAAAGCTTTTCTTTAAAAGTTCAAATTTAATCATGACTAATTTGACATTTTGTGGCAACCTGAACTGCTCTTTATGGTAAATAATTTGTTGATTTTTAAAATCATGGAAACATCTTCTAATAATAAATCATGGAATATTTTTTATGAAAAATAAATATAGTTAACCAATGAAGTATCCATTTAGTAAAACAGAAAATTAAGTAAAATTATTATTAAATCTATTTCATTGTTACTGAGAAACAGTTTGAACAAAGTTTATCCAAACATATAGTTGTATCTAAAACCACCAAAACTACTGTACAACTTCTAATATTTCGAGCACAGTAATGATACATAATTGGCTTTCGCTTCCATAGAGAGTAACGCAGGTGCATTATATGTATAAAAATGTGTATATATTGTAGAGATAATTATGAATATTTGTATGTAACAACCATTTTGTCTGTTTAGCTTTTGATGTTAGAGCATGAATGCAGTTTTTAAACCATTTTTTTTAAACTAACGTAACATGTCTCAAGATGATTTTTTATTTTTATAGCACATCAACTTGCTTCCTTATTCAAAGAACTAATAAAATTGCAAGACATTTTATCCGGATCGAAGGACCATATTGTTTTTTTCTTGCACATTTTAAATAACGGAACGATAAGCGCTCTTAATAAGATTAGATGTGTTTAAGTATTCATTTGATGCACATCTATGCACTTGGAAGCTTGCAGGAGTCATGTTCATACACGAATTTTATCAGTGCATAACGGTTTTAAATATATCATAAATATGACACGCTTTTTAGCAAAAATCTTAGTTATTAAGATCTATTTTATGATAATGGGAATTAACCTTTTAAGTTAAAACTTTCTATAATTAAATTTCGATTGTACATGCTTGAACTATAACAATGGGTGATCGTCCCAATCGAAAAATATTCGCAACTTTTTTAGGTAGACACGAATTTTTACACAAACCTACAACAACTGCTTCAATTGGTATTAAACTTTGGTGGGTTAGTTGTGAACAAAAAGTAAAAAAAACTTAATCAGAAACAGAATTAAGAGACTACTATGGCATAACATATTACTATAGTCGTTGATTAATCATTTGTTAAATTATACAGTTCCTATACTGACACGGAATGCAGAGTCTACATAGATATACTTTAAAAATAGATTCATAACCCGTAGCTGTACAGAACATCAACATTTTTGATTAATCTTGTGGGTACTTCCAATAAACAGCAAAGATTAATCTTTTATTTCGGATTTTCTAACAAAATCACCAAATCAAAGCACTTAAAACCTTCGGACCTTGGGAATAAAGCTTATAATCTGGTTTTGTTACAGCAAAACCAAAGCTTAGTGATTCGCCACACACGTAGAGGGAGCTTTAATATTTACTTAAGAAATAAACAAATCAAAGCACATAAAACCTTGGGCCTTGGTAATAAAGCTTATATTCGGGCTTTGTTACTACAAAACTAAGGCTTAGTGATTCACCACTAGAGATCGGATAATCGGATCCATATATTAACCTAAAGTGAGATGTTGGCTATTATGGAAAGCACTTTTTTATCGAAAATTCCCGCGATTCCTAGAAATTCAAAGTTAAATGTAGTGTACATATACCGCGATATATGGGTGAATAAACCCAGATTGACACAAATGACAGTTGCCCTGTGTGTATAACATAAATAATTATTAATATTGCGTAAGATGTCTTTAAAGAATAAATATTTTTACTTTCATTTCTGTTTTCCCTTACACCTTACATACATATATACTCAAATGAGAAATTATTTTTTTATTAAAAGTAAATAAATATACATGCGATTAGTTACGCGATCCTGAAATCTCGGAATTTAATTTTTAATAAAAATATCCTAAGTAGCCGCTTCCATAATTTATTAGCCAAAAAATAACTATAGGTAAATATGCATCCGATTATCCTATCTCTATTCAACGCACACGTATAGGAAGCTTTTATATTTACTTAAGAAATGAACAAATCAAAGCACATGCAACCTTGGGCATTGGTAATAAAGCTTATATTCGGGCTTTGTTACAGCAAAATCAAGGCTTAGTGATTCACCACACACGTACAGGGAGCTCGCCCGCCCCGCTGCCGTCGCAACAGCACCTCAACAATAAGGCTACCAGGTAAATCTATTATTGGTGTTATAGACAATAAATCTATTAATATATAATGGTGTATTCTCGCATGTTATACTAAACCGAAACTTGACAAAAGTGTATTCTTGTCATACTATACAGAATGTAAAAAATCCTTTAACGAAGTCGAAAGCCACGTATTTCCACATCATGAAGATTATTTTTTTCTTCTGGACCATACCTGGGAAATTTATGGTTGTGGAGATATTGAAGGTCAAAGTTACAATTTTTAAAGATTTATACAAATTATATTTTCAGAAAGTTATTTAGAAACTTTTTTATCAACGCACTTACACACAGGCACATGAATAGGAGACACTGATGTTAAATTTAGTTTTAACCACCATTGTTATTTTAAGCATTAAACTGCTACATTTGAAGATTAAAGAAAAAATTCCGACTGGTACGAACCTGCACCTTGCGCTAACCGCCCGGATAGCGTTTTGTTTGTTCGAATCCTGTCTCATGCATGACTGGAACGAGTTCTTCTTTTAAGATTTTTCTTAGATTTTTTTTCTCTAGAAATTTTCTTAATATTTATTTAAAAGGGGTGAATGACAAGTGTTTAATAAATAGTTATTTTTTTTGTGATTCACCACTTAAATTGGGGAGGGATAGTGTTTACTATAGCAATATCGTTAGGCGATTGGCCCCCTGAGCGTGCGCACCGTTAAGCGGGGCATGGTGCTGGCGTCCGCTATAACAATTTTCACATTTATAATGTTAGTGAGATATTTGGAATTAATGAATGTTATCTACTTGTCCGTAGAACAAACACGTATCCAAAACTGCCTGACAAATTCCGGGTTCGTTCCCCGGAAAGTCCGGCGCCGCAACCATCCGAAGAGGAAGTGATCTATTTCTGACAGCCCGCGCCTTCTACGCTACCCTCGCGATCCTGAGGATGTCGTCTGGCGTAAGCCAAACCCTAAATTTCTTATCCTTCTACCCTTTCCCAACTTATTTCCTACCCTTTCTTATGTTACCCCTTTTCTAGAATAATGGGCTCTTGATTTGCAATGATTTTTAAGGATGAAATTTTATACCTTGGAGTTCATAACCTAGTCCGAATGTGCGGATTTTTCACTTAGTTTTGTTAGCACATAATCGCTGTTATTAATAAACGAAGAATATGCTTGGATTAGTTACTCCATGTTTTGTCTCTTTTCATTGAATGACAAATGACATATGAACAAAACACGGCGTAACTAGTCTAAGCTTATTCCTCGTTTATTAATAAGGAGAAATGAGTTTAATCATGGCCAGATTTACCTTAGACATCACTAAAATAACGCGCTTTCAATTTGAAATGAGTTCCAAAATAAAATGTGGAGAAATAAGATTTTTTAAATTACTCTAAGAACATAACCTTGTCCGTGTATCACTTTTTTTGAAACATCCCGGTTTTGTTGGCACATTATGAACACAGTTACAAAGGTGTGCACATATTTTTAGTGAAAGGAAAAGAAATATAAGTCTAATTTTAAACTTCACAAAAGTTGGTAATGTATTTTGCCTACATTATATGCACGCCTCTGTTTATTAAATATTAAATTATGACTAGTCTTGGAATATTTGTAATATTTGTCCATTGAAACTAGTCCTTGGTATTCCTTACTCACCTGAAACTTCTTTATATTATAAACAATAATAGCAGAAAATAATTCGTTTCTTCTAGTTTCAACTACTTGCAAGATACGATATTATTTATAAAGCGCTTAGAATACCTACGTTTTAACCCATATAAAAGCGTTACTTAGTTCATTATGTGACAGATATTATGGGGCATACTATCTTACTTATATAACATATCTCGGCGAATCTTCGATAACGAATATTTCGATTGTATGCCAAATAAAACATTATCCCCCTTATTCCAAAGCGCAGACTAAAGTTAGTCTTGATTTAAACCCTCATGTTTTCTCTGTCTTCTTTTTAGCAAACAAAAGTGACGGTTAGTTAGTTAGTTATACCTGGACTAAAACTATAGTCCAGGTATAACTTTAGGTTTTGTAATAAGGCGGTAAATGTATTAATATTTGTTCAGACATCTAAAATCGTAAAAACCGTTTTCGCGTTTCAAATAACTAAATAGAAATAAATCGAAACGTATAAATCTATGGCAGCTGCGTAGCTAGTCTATAATATGTGTAATTTTTCATGATGAAACACGGACTTACTAGAAATTTATCGCTACTATATATTATTTAATTTATTATTGAATTACACTATGGCCTGACTTAAGAACTTAATTTATGATATAGTGAAGTCCTACAATATTTGTCATAAAATGATAACGCTTGTCAAGTAAAAAATTATTAGGGGACTTTCGGGAACCGTATTACGTCTATATTTAACTTGGGACGAGTAATTTTATTAACTGTCCAAACGGCGATCACTTTTTCTAATTAATAACGGACAATTAACTTCTTATTCAAGAATTATTGCAAGCTATTTAAAGTAACAGACGAAGACGCACCCAAACATTAAATTGAAACAGTGTAACAATGAAAATCATCCACGACACTTCATATTTTTGTTACGACAGAGAGAAAAAATGTAGTCAGTATAGTGAGAATTCAATCGACTGCAATAATTACTATTTAACAAGAGAGAACACTAACCGATTACATGTAACTATTAATACTCGTTCAGTGTTAATTGAGAACATTTGAACCACCTTTAGCTTATTTCACTTCAATGGGGCCATTACATATTATTATAATTTATGAATACTTACAAATAATAGCAGTACAAAATGATAATTTTGAGCTTAATTGTATGTCGAAAACATTCCAGAAGAAGAAATGACAAAAATGATCTCCATTGCTGCTATTTTTAACCTTAGTGATATTTTGTAACAGTATTTTGAGTGCAGCTTTTAAATATTGTCACATTATTTATTAAAAAGAAATATTTATATATTCCTATTAAATATAATTAATAACTTGTCTTCATGTTTAATCATAATTCGTTAAAAGGAAACCAATAACGTCAGTTTCCTGGTGAATCAGTTGATTAAAACAAATCAAATAATAATATTAAAACAATAAAACAATCGAGGTGGGCGAAATATTAACTTAAGTATAAATGTAAGTTCAAAACTTTTAAATAGAAGAAATGTCTATCTTGTAGCGATCTATAGATATAGAATTTGTTACATTTAGATGTTTCGGGTATAAAGCGAATCTTGTTGTTAACATTGAAATTTTGACATAGATAAAAATTGTAGTTTGTTTAAATTTATGAAAACGTTGTTGTGATGCATTTTTTATATTAATACTTTGCAGACTTGTTATTTTCGTACTGCGTGCACTAATTATATTGTTCGCTGGATTCACATAAAGATCGGTTAAAATTGTATTCAAATAATCCAATAAATCTGTCAAGAAGATTGTTTGCAAAACGCGTGCCAAAATTTACAAAGTCGCAGTTCCTACATTAAGGAAAATATCATTAATGCACGTACGTATCTGGAGTTTTTTATATCGCTAGAATGCTATAACTACATTAAGCACGCTATACAACAAAATAAAAAATGTCTAAAATCGTTTTAAATTTCTATGATATTGTTAAATTTGACATAAAGAAGAATATATCTTTGGAACTGTAGAATCGCTATTTAATAATCTAATATTGTAAACTGTTATTGGTGTAAATATGTTGAAATGTTTATTAAATGTAATAGAACGTTATATTCGCGATTATAAAGTTATAATGTGTATGTAATAAGAAGTGAGAGTGGCAATTGCATGTTAAAATCCTTTGTAGATATCTGCTAAACGTAAGTTAAACACCATGTTCAAAATTGTAAAATAAATTTGCATTAATTTTAAATGACATCCTGAACTTTAGGTTTATTGAAAAATAACATACAATTGCTAGTCTAGCAGTCGAACAGACCATAATTCGAATTAATTTAGATCTCGTGGAAGCGTATTATCAGATACCATCACAAAAATTGCAATGAAATAATTTATCGGATTTATGTTTTATAACTGGTTTAAGATTAATTTAATTTGAATAATGGATAAATATGTCGGCTACGCGCTTTTATTCTAGGTTTGTGTGCAGACATCATTGTGCAATATGCTGGATACACTTATTTAGATGATTGCTTTATATACAGTACTTACAAAGATACCCATGATTCTTGTAATCTTTACATTGTGTACGAATATCTGCACACAACAGTTGTTTAGCTCATTTAGAATACTGTTGTTACAAGAACTCAAGACTATTTAACTATTTTTCGTGCATTTACTGTAACCCTTTTTACTATTTAGTATTTAGAGAAGGTGATATTTTAAAACTATTTTCTTGTTTAGGATACCTTTCATACTATGAACTGTACATATATTGACGTTGATGTTTGAACATATTTGTATGTAAGATAAACTTAACAACATTATTACCTAGTGAATTATTGAATTTACGAGATTTCTATCGTGAGAAGAAAGTTAATAACTCGCAATAAAGTTTTGCATGGGGTATAAATGGAGTCTAAATGGGAAAGTCATAAAATTTTTCGATTTAGAAAATAAATTAATGTTTTGAAGATATCGTGTTTAAAATTATTACATCTTTTTATAGTTTGGTCGAACGATCTTCAAAACATCATGACAATAAGTAAATTATGTATTTTCTGTGTAATTGGGATTCCTTAATGTAAAAAGATTTTATGTGTTTTTGCACTTCTGCAATTCTTTATTATAAGAGCACTATACTTTTTAAAAATGGCGTACTTTATAATGACGCTCTTCCTTTTTATTATTTAAAACTAGTTAATATTTGATAAATTATTTACTTGATCTAATGGCCAGAGATAATGCATTTAATACATGTTCCTTGGATAGAATGTAATGTTTTTTCTCTTATTCATTGGGTATTTTGCTATACTAGATCTTAGCCTAATCAGCATTTTAGCGCAGTCATGTTTTTGGATTCACATCACAATTCAGTCTTCGGGTATTTTAAACGCTTAAAGGGGGATGTGATACGATTGTGATATTAAAGGCTCCTTTTGTCTGTAAAAAGAATTTCTCGTAGAAGGAATGTAACGATTGACAATGGTGAAGAATTACGACATACCGCTTCAGCGAGTTTGGAAAGAGCGTTATCAAAAACGATATTGCATGGCGGCAATCGTATTCAAGTGTTTGGTCGTTTAATTTTCAAGTATTGTCGTATTGGCTTATCCATAATATAAATTTGGTTATCCCATTTCTGGGTCAACCCAAATTGTTAGAAGTGATTTTAATAAAATAATAAATTAATCATTAATTTGCATTCACTCTCTATAAACTAAAGTGCATTTCATTGGTAAATATTGCATATTCAAACTATATAATAATATTTGTACTCCTTTAGCGGAGTACGCCGATGCGTTTCCAAAAGTTTCAGTTAGATGTCATCCGGAATCCTTTGTGAGGTGTTCTGTTTGACATCATTAACTACCTTCGTGCCTTCTTAATAAAATCTATTTTGGTTTACAAACTTGATTTCCAAACAACAGCTATAATGCATAATTTAAAAATATGATATACAGTATTTAAACACCGTCAAAAGTAATTTTAGTGAGATATGAGTACTTAAATTTGTAGCCCATAAATATAGGTTCTTTCGTGGCAATATTTAAAGATTATGTAAGTAAGCTTTAATCTGTATTTATATTGTTCTAGTTTTTAAACTTTACGAATTCCCTCCACATATTTGAGTTATATTTTGTTGTGGCAACGACAATACACTTTGTATTGCTCAATGTATGCTCATTTTTTTCCTTGTAATTTCTAATGTGGTTTGTCATTTTGATATTTATGTGTATAAATGATTATTATATTGATTTGTGTATCGCTTGATTTGAATCGATTTTTTATCGGTTTTATTTTGTCAACATGATCTGTGACGATTAGCAGGCGGTGTCGCCTGTTATATTTAGAATAGTTGAATGAAATAAACATTTACTTAGTACCAAATTGACATTTTTATTTTTCGTATTAGGAAATGGAGCTAAATTTAGCAGCAGCTTCGAAAGTTAACCCACAGCTAAACTTAAACCTATAGGTCTTTTTCTTTATTTGTTTTCACATTTAGGAGAAAATTCCAGAGGTCATCGCAAAATCACAACCAAAAAGGCATGTGTATAACACTGTTCAACATGATTTTTGGCCGTAGATTCAAATATACTTTTTTGGTTTCTATTTGATAGATAATCAAAAAAATCTATTACATAGAAATATCTAAATATGTACATTGAAGATATTTGGCTGAATTCTTTTGACGGTAGGTCAAAAAACAGTATTATAACTGACCTAACTAGCAAAAACAATATTTGCCATAATATATGTACCTTACACTTGTGTGCTTTTGGTTTGGAAACTCAACTTTCAAAAACTACGCATTATTGGTTTGGAATGGAATTGGAAAACAAACGGCATGTTAAAATAAAGGATAAAACAAAATGATGTAGCATTGATAAGGCTTACACAGTTTTCACAAGTACAATCAAACACTTTATTGTCGTTTAATATCCCAACTACACGCAACATTGCAATGGCAACATACTTTTTTTAGTATTTAATTCAAAGGGTTGTTTTTAATTGATTGTGATGTTTTTTTTGTCTATTTTAATATGTTTTAGCATTTCTTAGGCTAAGAAAATATATCTACTAGAGAATTATAATATCTTGGGATGAAATATGTCTGAAGATTCATTTTTCAATTGCCATCTAGATCTACATTTTTTCCCAGAATACTTGGGTGCTGTAAGTGACAAGCACAGGGAGAGATTCCACTAGGCTATTATGGCAATAAAGAAATAAAATACCATAGAAAATGTTCATGAAGAATGCTTGTAGATTTTTTTGGACATCAAAACGAGATTTTTTTTTTTTTTATAGATAGGTCCGACAAATGACTCCACCCCACCTGATGTTAAGTGGAGGTGAAGTCCAGACGCGAAGATAGCTGATACAGCAGTTCTACCTGCCACACCAGCCATCCTCACCCTGCCGGCCTGCATGTTGCTTCTTCACGCCTCTTTTAAAGGATCCCAGGTTGTAAGAGGGAGGGAACATGTGAGCGGGCAGAGCATTCCATTTACGGATAGTACGACAAAGAAATGAGTCACCAAATTTCTTTGTACTTTGTACGCTTTGGAATTGTAGCCACAGTTAGACGGTGACAACGTAAGCCAGCGCGCGTGGTCCTCTGAAGGAAAGGGGAAGGTGGAATAAGAGAGAATAACTCCTCAGAACACTCGCCGTGGTACAGACGATAGAACGCGCTTAGTGACGCCACGTCACGGCGTAATTGAAGAGGCTCGAGGTGTTTAGACACCTCCTCATCACCTATGATGCGTATTGCGCGCCGCTGTAACCTATCCAAAGCATCGAGCAAGTACTTGGCGGAGCCATCCCAGAGGTGCGAGCAATATTCCACGCAAGACCGAACCTGCGTCTTATATAACAAGCATAGTTGCTCGGGCGCGAAAAAACGCCGCACCTTGTTCAGGACTCAGAGTTTGCGTGAGGCTGTTTTTATCACACTTTCGATGTAATTTTTTGGATTTAAGTCACAGCGAATCTCCATACCGAGCATGGTGATACTGCTCTCTAGCTCCAGTGTTGTGCCCTGAAGAGAAGGACATAAAAGGAATGGCGACGTTTTTGCCGTGAAAGCGCAGACCTGGGTTTTCTTAGCATTGAACTCAACCAAGTTCTTGGTACCCCATTCAGAAATGTGGTCCAAAGCCTGATTGAGTTCAATGACAAGATTTCCATCATATAATCATAAGAGACAAGCAAATACAACTCCATAATCTTCATATTTTTTTAAAAGCACCTTATACATGGTACGTATGTTGTAAATTATTTTTTTTTTCAAATATGTCTAATTTTATAAGAAAATGGGTGTTTAATTTTTTTTTATACGTATTTTAACTTATCTCAAGTCAAGGTACGAAAAAAATAAGAATTGCACACCACGGCAAAAAGAAATACTTTTTTTTGTTGACCTACTGTTCATTAATTAAATGCAAGTTCCATGATTTGAGTAATTACGAAATAACAAACTTTAATAGGTATATATAAATCAATTTATTCAAAATAATAAGGAACAGGTAACAATAGGATAGTACAATTAACTTTATAAAAAAATACTTAATTAATAATTTAGTCTATATGCTTCTGGCCACGTCATATAATTAAAATCGAGCGACACGCCTCGGCTTTTCGCAGAGAATTATTAGAGAACGAGACATAAATACATTATGTCACTAAGAAACTATATAGTTTAGATCCCGCCAGGTTTTCCAAATATAATGTGATAAGGATTTAATGCAGTAGTTCAGCTATTTTATATTTTCATTGAAAAGTTCTGCACTCAAAAATTTTCGAATATTTAACTTTAAAAGTGGTCCATCTATGATATCAAAATGGTGGGACCACTAGTTAATTAAAGAAAAACACGCAGCGTAATCTTAAACTAAACTCCTAAGTTTAATGCGACTACGTTCGATGCATTATTATACTACTACAACTGTAATTTCCATGCCCAAAAAGGTAGGTATTCTATTTACAGTAGGATGCGCCGTGACGTCATACTTGGTTTATGACTTAAAATAATACTTTTTCTTCAGGCGCATCCTACTGTATTTTTTTTGTGTGTTTTAAAATTAATATTAGAAGTATTTATGATCAGGTGTGTTCCGTCTAAGATTACGCTATGTGTGTTTCCTTATTTAACTAGGGGTCCTGTCATTTTGATATCAAAATAGCAGGACATTTTTTTATAGTGCAGAATTTTTCTATGAAACTATAAAATAGCAGAAATTCGACTTTAAATCAAAATCTCATTATACTTGAAAAACCAGCCGGGATCCTGTGATCTTGACGATAAATCTTACTATTGGTGTTCTATTTTAAATCGCTTCAGTAGTTCCACATAAGCCTTCCTACAAACTTTCCTTTTTCCATATCTGCATAGGCAGATGGCATGGATGAATAATATCAAATGGTAGTTACATATATGAAAATATTTGAACATCTTTAATAACATTGTGTCATTAAAAATAAATATTAAAAAACAATTAAAGAAATTGTGGGTAATAAGATTTATTTATTTACATTGTTTAATAAATATCTCATGGACAAAATCTACAGACCTATTTATTCAAAAGGTAAAATTACAATATTTAATTTTGTAAATTGGACTAGGCATTTAGGCTTTATAATGTTTTGGAAGTGCAGTTAATCATATAGTATTAAATTAATATAAAAAGGGCTAGAAATCTAACTGGTAGATACGGAATGGAATTCCTTAGTTAATTATATAATTTAAAATGGTAAGATATTTAAATTCGTACCAAGGTGATATACACTCGGCGTCAAAAAATCGCGCCTCCGCGAAAATAACTTTCGAAAATAACACGCACATGTACGACCAATATTGGTGTCCTTTGAAAGCCCATTTAAATAAACTTAAAAAACAATTCGATTAATTTTTATTTTTACAACAACAGAGATAAAAAATATTTGGACGGGACACCATCCAGGGTGCCACATTTTAAAATAGGATTACTTCTCTGTTGCCCCAGGGCCTCCAAACCTCTAAATCCGGCCCTACATCTACAGCTCCAATAAAAGTGTAACTACCTACAAGTTTGCTATTTGCGTTTGCTTTGTGATGGCAATAAAGGACCGGTAAATAGCGAATGGCTTTAGTAGTTTTCTAGGCGAAAGCATCTCCTGCAGGGGGATTCCTCGCTTTGCCGTAGACCTACTAGGTCACTCGAGCCCGAAAGGCATTAGCAAAACTAGCTAGAGGCCGCCTTCAGATAAATATGAATAGCCACACTCAGAGAGGTTAGTTAACTTTTTAACTTAAGCTAAAATTCATGTTTTTTTTGTATTTTATAAAAGGCTCAATCACAATGAAATGCTTTCAATACGCGACAGTAGACTGTGACGAACCGTGACATAATGAAACATTAGATTAATTTGATATTTCTGAGTGCGCCTGTTTGTATACTTGAACCGAGGGTCTAGCTAGTTGGTCAACGCGGTAAGGGAGAGCCTGACTGTTTAAAAAAAAATTGCAACCCGTTCTATCAGCGCTAGTACCGCGGCGGGGTTAATTAAATGACATCAATGATGCTATAACGTCGTCACCTTGAATTATCTACAATCGATTACGGTACATTAGATAAAGTAATTAAGTTAAGTAGTAGTAAAGTTAAACTCTGAATTCGATGAGCTATCTCAATCTCCCTACCCCCTCAAGCTCCAGAAACTTTTTGCCCCTAAAAGGTTCGAATCCCAATTGTATGACGACTTCCTATGCATTTGTACCTGAACCATAGTAAAACAGGTACTTATAGATCTATGTATCATTATATGTGTTTCTTTCTGTTATCCTAGTTTCTTATAACAAGCCTTACAGAGTTCACTTTGGGGCTAGCCTAATTGGTGTGAGTGTAAAAAGAAATACTTAAGTTCTGTAACATGAAATTTACTTCTCCAGACAGGGTGAGATATCCCCCAATAGTTGTTCATGGTACTCTTTACAGTCTCTCCCCCACAATCTATTAATTGAATAGTTTAGTGATAAATTGTTTACAATAATATTCCCTAAAATCTACACTTAATATAAACAAGCAGTCTTGTAAGTTTATGCAAGTATTTAATGCTATTATTAAATAGTGGATAAGAAAAAGAATTAATTTTTAGTAAAAAATTATCTAGAACTATCCTTTCGTTATATTATTTACAAGGCACAACTTTCTAATACTTTTAGATAACAACCGCAATCAACCTTATTAGGCCACCACTCACTTAAACAATTAATTTAATATTTTATTTTCTGAGAGAAAAATAAATTAATATAGTTACACTGAGCCTAATTCCCGAATGGCTTTATCTTAAAACTCAATTTGACCACAATTTTTCCACAACAACTTGACAGAATTTATTGATCTTTGTTAATCAAGTTATATTTAAAGGGAGCTTATTAAGGTTCAATAAACAACAGTCTCAGTATTCAGCACCAATGCAATATTACATAGATTTTGGAATGGCCATGATTGAGTATTAAAAATACTGCAATAATGCATTATTTACCATGTACATTTTTGAAGAAATAAATAATTATAAATAGAACATATTTAAAGGGAGCTTTAAACATGCAACATGGTATTGTCATGTAAGATTCAAAAACCATTACAAATACAATTACACTGTTTGTGTACAAATAGTAATTTAAAATAGTTGAGAGAAGACACACCAGCTAATAAATATAGTGTAATAACTTTTCCAAATTCACAATAATATCCAAGTCTGTAAAAAATAAAAGAATTAATTGCTTAGAGTAGGTACAAAGAAGTCCATACCAGTGACAGCATACCACAGACAACATTCTTATTCTTACCACTAAATATTAAAAATGCTGTTAATATAGTAACTATTAATAAAAATGACACATTCTTTGCTCCATCTCATTCAACAATTCAATACCCAACAATATAGGCTTTGCCGATTAGAATTTTAAGCTACAATCTACTTGGTACTTATAACATATCTCTAACATTTTCACTGGAAACTTTCTCCCAGATCTGTCCAGATGTATACAATCTATAAATCTTATTGCTCACTAAGCTCTGCCCAAATTTCAACATGGCTCCTTCAAACTTATGCTGAAACCCTTGCATCTGCGTCTCGTTGTACCCAACACCACCTGATAGGTACACCTTGGGGTCCCTACATTCTGTATACTTATGTACACCTAGTATCTCTAAAGGTATATCTTTAATAGTCAAGTTAAGTTTAAAAATATCATTAAAGGTAGTCATGGAATCTAAATTCCTTACATATGCAGAGGTAAGTCTCTGTGGTAACTTGAAATAATGAGTTTTCTTCATGATGTCTGGATACCCAATCTCAGCATTGTCATCATCATATTGGTTTAAACAAAACAGTAATGGTTTCACATTAATGCTTCTCACTTTTCTTGTTGGATCAAAGTCATCTAATAAAGCCTTAAGATTGTTGTGAATTCTTGGCACTAAAAACTCATCCCATGACAGTACCACTGCATGACTGGCTTTATCAGCATCTTCTTTGTCATATCTAAAGTGCCTAAACAGACAATCCAGTTCAATAGCACTTCTCACCATGTTATAAGACTTTGCAAAAACAAAAGGATAGTTTAATGGAAAGAATTGTATGCTCCATTGGGTTATATCTGGCGGTAATAAGTTCAGCCTCCTTATAATGTCTTCTGATATCATACTATCATAAATTGTAAAGAAGTTCACCCCCATCATGTGATGGTAAACTAAAAATTCTATGAAAGCATCCCTTGAAACAATGGGGACTTGGTTTGGTATCACACACATTGCTGGTTCAATATTATTGACAAATCTAATATTGGTTTTTTCACGGGTTTTCCTCTTGGTATTCACTTGTATTACTCTGTTGATGGGTGCATTAATTGGATTAATGTTGTAATCATTTACATAAAAACTAACTCCTTTAGGCTTTCCTAAATTTTTTGTTAAAGAACACTGAAAAATGTATAAATGAAAAGCTTTATCAGATTCTGAGATAATCTTGAAATTAAATCTTCCTGATCTTGGTTTCAAGGAGTTTTCGAGCCAGATATTGCATCGAAAATTTGGCTGCACATTTGCTTTTCCGATCACAATAGTATCAATGTTGTGAGCATTTTCTTGAGATAACTTTTCATACTTATGATAGGATCTTAAGAAGGAGGAATATGAATAAAAATTTTCATCTATTTCTTGAAATAGTGGAGGTGTCTCACGAACCTCCATTGACGAGTTTCGGAGTATTTCCGAGAGCATTGTGGCGTTGAAACCCGGTCCGCAGAATTCTATCTCGGAAAGACCAGGTTTTCCAAAAAAGTTTAGCACTTCCAGGACATAACGTAGCCGATAATATTCATGTCGGTAAATAAGTAAAGTAATTATGCTTACAAAGCAAACAATAACAAGGAACAGCTGATAATATTTCCTCATGATGTTACCTGATGATTTGCGAGGATTCTTCATTTAACCTTTAAATCACCGATACGTTACTTACTATAAGAAGAGATAGAAGAAACAATTAGATAATATTGATATATACTCATTATTATACTTCAATTCACAGGGAAACGATAGTAAAATATGAAAAGTGCAAATAAAATTACTTTGCCATGATTATACTCTGACAATTGACTTTGACATTTGACCTTTCTGTTTCTGTCACAGAAGTGACAGCAAGGGAGTGGGAGAAAGAAATCATTCACAGACAACGAACGAGGCCCCTTTGAAAGCTGCGTTCCAAACCTACGCTTTAAGTGCAACTTTTACCCCAAGGTACAATTCTGACAAAGATTTGTATATAACTTAAATAAAATTTGACATTAGTTGCATCTGGAGAGGAGTAGGTTTGGAACGTAGTTATAGGCCCCGAAACCATAGACTAAAGGTACTGCCAACTGTAGAAGGACAACCGAACTCTATGGAAGTGTTGCCAATACTATGGTAAATAATGTATTTTATGGCAATTTCATGCACCGAGAGGTAATACATATAATATTGGTGTCGATTCTGGTATGATTCTCTAAAATTAAATTTAAAGCAGATGATTCAAAAGCGGTAGTCGGTTTCCAGCATTGACAAAATATTTATCTCTTCAAAGCTTGTTTTATATTAAAACGTGGACATATACTTTATTTTACTTTACTTACAATTAATTTAAAATCATGTTTAAAAAAATAACAGCTTTGTAATTATACTGGCCACTCTGTCAAAAATAACGACATATTTTTAGTATGTGGCAGCTTATAACGTCAACTCAATCACTATGGCAAATGTCAATCATTCCAGTCATATTATAAATATTCATGAAATTGTTATGAAATGACAATACAACTTTATGATTAATTCTTCTTAGAATACCCACGAAATATCAAATAATGTAATGAAAGATGAACAGAATAATTAAGTTACTTATTGAATAGAATTTATTTGATGCAGTGGCAACAAAAATACATAAATAAACTTGCTAATCAATAATTACATAATTTCGTATTATCATACTCAATAAGAAAGGGTATGAAATAAATTCTAGTGTTTTTTGTCAAATGATTTGGATTTAAGTGCACTACAATCCACAAAAATTGGGAGTCTGCCGGAGACTCCCTACCACCATCCATACTTTATACCGTCTCCTTAGACAACAGCATTCTAAAACTACGCTCTAATTCAATTCAATTTTTTGGTGATTATGGCTGCGTCTCATTACGTGACGATTCTGCCAATGTCTGGGTTAAACCTACGCTCTAAGTGCAGCTTTTTATTCTGATATTTCAATTTTGACATAAGATATATAGAACATGTTAAATTTGACATAGGTTGCACCTGGATCGTAGGCCAAAGAGTATAGTATACCAAAGGAAGTGTAGGCACTGAACGCAACACTGTGTATCTTTGTCATTTTTTATACTGAATAAAAAAGATAAGCTGATTTAAATTTAGTTTTGGGTTTAGAGAATAAAGCTAGAATAGACATCAATGTTTGATCGAAAATGTAAACAATGTGAGATAAAAAATTCAACAGTTAACTTTTTTTATATAAGATGCAACAATTGTACATAATATTAGTGGAGTTCAGTCATGTAGATAGCTGAAAAGACAGAAAGTGTGTCATTCCAGCCATTTTTGTAGTGTTGACCTGAAACCAGCCCAATCCCCTACTCTTATTACAAGTATAACGAATTACAACTAAATGAAAAACATTCATTCTAAATAAAAAAGCAAAAAATACACTCATGATTCTGTGATGATAGAAATATTTACATAGCTAAAATTTTGTACGGAAACCTCACTGTGTGACAAGTTAACTATTTATTTAAAACGGACGCCTCCAGCCTTTTAAAATACTAAAATATAGATATCCTGTAGTTAGATAATTATGAATACGACGAATATAACTGATGTATATCTCTATATTAAATGAATTGTACATTGACAACAAAGACAGTTTTAATTTTTTATTTTATAAATCTAAATCTAGGTTAGTAACGAACATCTTTATGCTGCTTCCGCCAAAATCTAGTAGCCTGTTGCCCCAGGCCAAGGCTCTTTTGACCTCAGGATATACTTGGGTTTTCTGATAAGTTTTACCAATGAGGAATTCAGATTAAGGTAACTGGGCGTATAAATAATGTAATTATGAAATTTTAAAAATAAATATTGAGCTCCGAGTGAATAAACAAAAAAACAATTGTGTGTGTTAGCTCCGACGCACGACTGGAGTTTACTTCTTGAGTTCGATAGTCTAACCAGACGCAAAAAGAGTTTATTTAACTTAAAAAAGATTGATACTGTATGAAAGGGTAAATTAACAAATTAATGAAAATAATATACATATATAAATATATTTTTTATTCATTTCATATATATTTATTATAACTAATCGACGAAATATTTTACATTAAACATTTTAAAATAGTCAATTTCAGATGTGCATAAATAAAGGTACGCTACGATACTGTGCTACGGTGTAGCAATACGGCTGCTACAGCGTAGACAGTAAAAACGTAACGAGGTCATTCATCGATAGATAGATTTCACTCCTCACATTTTTCTCATACCGGGCCCCTTATATGGGTCATTCTACTTTTGAAGAAAGAAAAAAAATAAAATAAAAATCTCGTTATTATTGAATTATTTTAGGTTTATTATATTAATCAACAAAAATAATAAACATTATAATTAGAAACAGACATCGTTTCTCAGTAATTGCCGAGAAAACGACGAAAATTTAAAATAGGTGGCTAACAGGAATGACGCTACACTTTATAGATATGATGTTATGTTATATTAATGGTTTTAAACAACAATTAAATTAAATAATTATACGTTTAAAGTATTGATTCAAAAGGCATATTAATCAAAATAAAATATAATTAAAATCAGATGTAAGTATCAAAACGTAAAAAATAATTTAGTATTTTTCACGGGAATGACGTCACAGCCCTTATCATTTAACTGTGTCATACTTATTAGCAATAAAAAATCATCTTTTCAGCTTCTTAGCTCTCCTAAATCGTATTAAAATCCCTATGAATAAATAAAAATAAATAAATAAATATTTCCAACACTCACACCAATTAGCCTAACCCCAAAGTAAGCTGTAAGGCTTGTGTTATGTGATACTGGGTTAACGGATAGAATACATGTACTGTACATATATAAGTTTATTTTTATAGATATACATATTAAACATCCATGACTGGAGTACAAATGCTCGTATTCATCACACCAACATCTGCCTCCACCGGGATTTGAACCCGGGACCTCTCAAGTCGGCGACACAATGAAACCTGACATACAAACCACTCGAGCACGGAGGTCGTCATAAATGAATTTTGTTTTGTTTTTCTCAAATGTTGAAGCATTTATTGCTGCATCTATAATTTTTTTCCTCTTTAAGTCTTTCTCAAAACTGTCATCTGAAGAGCATGATTTGTACTACAAGTTTCTGCTTCGTTCTGATAAAACTGCTACCGTTAGAGGTTGATTTTAATGATCTGAATCATCAAACCATGTCAGATTGTCACCATCGGCATTTGTAGTATAGACACTTTTCTCTGGGGACTGATGGAACTGCCTAGATAGACTGGAATCACAATCAGAATCAGCAGTATCGCTAACTCTTTGCTGTACTGTAAATGAATATATTGCAGGAGAACTGCGTTCTGGTGACGAATGACATGAATCGGCATCTGTAACTGTACACTCACTGTGTGCGACGATTCATACTGCAGCTAACAATAAAACTGTAGAAATTCAGTGATCCCACAATCACTTCTGTTATAGAAATGTCTTTCTATAAAAGTTAACTTTTTGTGAAGAAAACAAAGGAAATAATAATATCATCATTTTTATTTGTGTATTGATTAATAGCCAGTGAGCCAATGAGCAGCCAGAGTTGAACAAAATTAATATAAAATAAATATTATCATTTCTGTTATTTTTTGTCATTTCTGTTATCACTATGAAAACAGAACGTGACGATCACAGATATGATAAAATTTTGTAATACCCGCTTTGTTGGATTCAAAATTAAGAGTAAACTAGTTGACTTCTAGGTATATTAAAACAAACAATGAAATAAATTCCGCCCGCATATTGTTGTTTTTGATTTTGCAGCCTCAACAGAGATGATACATCAACTTTTACACAGTAATAATTACTAACAAAATGGTTTTTATCACAAAACTAACGCTAGTACTTTTTACTTTGAAGCCGTTCCATAAATTACTGGTAATGTAGTGTTGTCACTGCATACAAAATTTACCTATAAGAAGAATGTTACTAGCGTTTTATTACAAAATACTCTTGGATCACAGAAATGATTTGAAAATTGTAACAAGAGTAGAATCGCGTAAAATGTATTGTAAGATTGCACTAACCTATATATTGTTGGTAATATCATAAACTAAATTATATTAATACAATATTTGCGATATTAACAACATCCTAAACACACACATTATATTTTTCTTGGTTACCCTTATGTGGTAACATGTGAAATACACAGATAGCAGAACATGATATACGCACTTTTAATTTTCTTTTTAAGAATTATTTTTAATTTAATACCGTTTATTAAATAAACAAATGATAAAGAACATCGTTTTCTTAAGGAGTACACTCCAAAAATGCTGGATTGTTCTTCATTATTTAAAAAAGGTTTGATTGCATCCTTTTAAACTTGAATTTTTTCAATTCGTTTATAAAAATAATTCTAAATTAAGGTGAATGAATATACATTTCGCCGTAATCTGGTTGCATGGGCTGCCAACACTTCTCAAAACTCTATGGTTTGCATTCGTCAAAAAATCAAGCTGCCAACATCTCCAAACAAAACTTTAGCAAGTCATCGGCTTTTTCAACGAAAGACATTTTCATTTCTTTTCTTGATTTGTAAAAATAAAATATCTGCAATTGATATGTCTGTTAACAAAGAAGATACGTTGCGGCAGTTTTGTGACGTGACTGGCGCAGATGAAGAGCGCAGCAAGTTCTTTTTGGAATCTTCCAATTGGCAATTGGAAGTAAGTTTACTTGTCCCTCATTCTATTCCAATTGGTGTAGTTCTGTAGTGATTATTGTACATAAATAATGCTTTTTATTTATATGCATAAAACAACTAGTTTCTAGGTGTCTGATGCCTGCCCTAGAGGCTTGTTTATGTTGGTAATCATGTTTGTATTTTACTCCTAACCAAAATCATTGTTAGGTAGTATATCCATCCAAGTATGTTTCACTAGCTGTGTCCCGCGGTTTATTAGGGATATTTTCCCGCAGAAAAACGTAGCCTATGTGTTCATCCAGGGTTTCAGCTAACTCCATACCAAATTTTATAAAAATCGCTCCAGCCGTTTAGACGTGAAGAAGTAACAAATATACACACTCACACACTCGCCGTAAAAAAACTTTCGCCTTTATAATATTAGTGTAAAAGTGCAATGTCACTTACCTTGATGAAATGACAAAAGTATTAGAGTAAGCTTATCTTATAAGGCAGCTCAGTTTCGGTACCTATTCAAAATCAAAAATCTATTGAGGGTAGGCTGTTACAAGCACTTGTGAAAGTCGTGAAGCTATGCCAGCAATTCGCAAAACTATGGCGGAAGAATGTACTGAGAACTTGCACTTTATTAGGCAACCATATACATTTAGATTAAATCTCACATTACTTAAAGTAATAACCTAAAATCTTTTTGTAAAAGTGATTCACATTTTAGAAACTTCAATGGTAAAGTTTTAATCTGATTATTATACTCTCAGGGGTTATTAAGTGCATTTAAACAATCTCATGACTTGCTTAAATTCAGTTCAAAGAAACGAGTTAGTGCTGACAAAATTACGCTTTTCTATCATTGGCTAGGTTGCATTTCTTACGTCAAGTCTTTTGTAATGAATTAACTGACAATTTAGTTTGGTATTATGTTGTGATTATTATTGTAAGGTGGACCTAATTCAACAAGCATTATTAAATAAATGTCTTGCTCATGTTTCAGATAGCATTGTCGAGTTTCTACGAACATGGTGGTAATGTAGATGAAATGCCTGCTAACCCAGCACCTCGTGTCTCACCACCGACTTTGTCAGACAGTGATATGGAGTCTCCTCCAGAGTCACCCTCAAGACCGCAAAAAAAGGATAAAAAGAAGCCTGCATCGAAATTTGCGACCCTTGATTCATTGCAAAATGATAGTTCAAGCCAAGATGAGGAGGGTAAGTATGGTTATTGAAACTAAGACCTGCAATCAAACTCTATTATTTTTATATTATAATTTTAATATTATTCCTCGATGACCTCCGTGGCCGAGTGGTTTGTACACCGGGTTTCATGGTGTTGCCGACTCGAGAGGTCCCGGGTTCAAATCCCGGTGGGGGCAGATGTTTGTGTGATGAATATGTGCATTTGTACTCCAGTATTTCTATATGTATTTATATGTTTATGTTATTTATATATATATGTATATGTATTTCTATATGAATATACTTATATATGTACAGTATATGTATTCTATCCGTTACCCTAATATCACATAACACAAGCCTTATAGTGCTTACTTTGGGGTTAGGCTAATATTGTGTGTTGGAAATATTTATTAATTTATTATTAGATTAATTAGTGTGTATTATTACATTAATTAACGTTATAATAAAGACCGAACTATTCCTTCAAATATACTATTTTAATGGTTGAAGTTAATTTATTATGCAGCTAGTATTCAGTAGATTCCTCTTGTAAATAGATCAATGCCAATACCAACAGGTTTTTTTTGCAAGAGAGTGATTTTCTTTGATAGTCATCATGACTGATTGAACTCATTTCTTATTTATATTAGCAACATGTTACTATAAAACAAGTCATATTCAAATATATTTTATTTTTTTCTTCCGTAAGCTTACAGCTTTTATTTTTACATGGTATCTAATTTGGTTTACTTCTAGCCAATAACAAGTTTTCACATATAAAATATGATGCCATTGATTATGGAGAATTGCTCAATATAAAAGTGGAGACATGATAAGAAATTTCCCTGTAAAATATAAACATAATTACAATTTATTGAATGTAATTTAAATACGAAGAGCTGTATTTTTATCAAATTGATTGAAACAATTTGTTAAATTAGGTCTTTTCTTGTCAGTGTCGAAACATATTAGACTACCATTGGAATTTATTGTACAAGAATTCTATTGTGAAAAAGCAACTTGCTCCAAAAAAGTTGAAAAGAATGTAACACCACTAAATTCTGAGACAAATAAAGATTTTGAAACTGAAAACTTGAAAAGTGAAATTAACAGATTATTAATTGAAAATGTTGATTTGAAGAATGAAATAGCAAGACCAAAGTCAGACAAAGAGTCAGGTGTGTGATGATTCTACAGTTTTGACTTTGAACCACATGAATATTTGCTTTACTAACTTTATGAATTCTACAAAGCTTAATCTTAGTTTAATGAAAATTTTATTGACTATTTCTCTAGAACACATTTGGTAGAGTATCTTTTGGTATTTATTATATAGAGACATAATTACAAAGGAACAGATGTGACACCTTTTTAAAATATCTATTGTAGATATTTAAACTTAATAAATTCTAATCCCTTACAAAATTCAGGAGTGTTTCACCCCTCGTATTTTATAAAATGTCCTAATTTTTTGTTCACCCTTTTATACATGTAACGAACATGTAGTATACAATACTTGCATCAAACTTGTGGGATAAACAAAAGATGTGAAGTAAATAAGTGATTTAAACTAGTTGTCTATGCAGTGTTAACAAAAGTATGTTTTAAGCAGCCACATAAAGTTTTCTACAAGATTTGTTTAAAACTAGTATATGACTTGTTTCTTGGTGGAAACAAGGGGAGATAAGTTGAGTATAAGTCGCGGCACGAAATTCTAGCGCTGAGCGTTATTGCGCAGAAGTAAAAATTAAGATATCTTGGGGGGAAACGAGGTGCGCAGGCGGGCGTGCGTTGCGCCGATTGGCTCTCCAGTCGTACAAAGGCGCAGCTATCCCCTCCGCGTTTTCTTCAGCGCTAGAGCTGCGTGCCGCGACCTGTACAAAACAATAATTAAAGTCCTATTCATCCCTTATTTGGATAACTACCAACTACTGGTGACTAGGGTTGCATACTCAGATATTTGCTCTAATGCTCAAAGTTATTAATTTTAACTTAAATTCTCAATAAATTCTTCAATAGACAATGAGAACTTTTTGTTTAACAGGTCAGGCATTTTATGCTGGTGGTTCAGAGAGGTCAGGCCAACAAATCTTGGGGCCTGGTAAAGGCCGGAAAGACTTTGTCACTGAAATGTTCAAGAGTGTGAGAGAGTAAGTATTTCGTAATTTCCTTCACCAGTAGGAAGCTACATTATCAGGGCCATATTTTGTCGCGTTAAACTTCATTATTTTTTTCAAATATGCTGCGGAAACTTTTATCTAGCAAATATGACGTGTGTAAAACGTCAATCAGTTCAAAGTAATGTCACTTCATCAGGATGTATACAAGTAGCTGACGTCATTTTAGGCTACGCCAATTCTAGGCGTTTTCTGTCACGTGACAATAGATCAAAAATCTCTAGCTGAAGGGCGCGGCCGTAATTGTCCGTGTCGAATTTGACAAATATAGTCGCGGTAACATAATGGTCAGTACATCCGCCCAGATAGCAGAGGGTGCGGGTCCAAGTCCCGTCTGCTGTCTGATGCGCGTGGATATTTTTCTGGTAAAAAAAACTCTCAGATCTAATATATAAAATTCTCGTGTCACGGTGTGCGTAATTGAACTACTCCGAAACGACTCGACCGATTTTAGTGGAATTTTATATGCATAATTAGTAGGTCTGAAAATCGGACAACATCTATTTTTCATTCGCCTGAATGTTAAGGGTGGTGTTAATGTTAAATTTTTTTTGGGCAATTTTTTTTATTTTGTTTTATGATACATCATACAAAAATACATAGAACCCTAAATTTTCACCCTTCTATCACCAACCTCTATTTTTTTTAAGGCGGTATGAAGTTCGCTGGGACAGCTAGTTATTATATAAAATAACCTTCTAATATACTTCTGTTCCCAACCTTTATGGTTGTTACAGACAATGTTTAATTATTTTACTTTTAGACGCGGGGCGGTGGCTTTCGATGACGACCCTTCCCCATCCGCTAGCAGAGGCCGTATCGTGTTCTCTGGAGCTGGATATAGGCTAGGTGAGTTACAGCCGTAAGCTACTTTGCCAATGGCCGGCCATTAGATGGGTGATCAAAAATTTATCTCAAGCTCCTCCGTACTTCGGAAGGCACGTTAAGCGGTTAGTGCCAGCTGCATCTACATTTTTTGGCAATTACCGATCCGAATTGGGCCCACATGGTGAGTCATGGCCCAATGTCCTATATTTCATCCATAGGGGAGGCCTGTGCCCTAGCCTTGGGACATTAATAGGTTAATGATGGTGATTATGAGTTACAGCTATACTCAGAAATGTCACATTATTTTTTTTAGCCCTGAAACTACTCAACGTCATAAACACAACACCACGTAATGTTATTTTGCCCTGTCTCTCAAATACTAATGCTTTAATTAAGCCACGTGTTGTCTCATTCTATTTCAATTAAATAGGCTAGTTGACACTTTTTGGAAAAAGGTTTTAAATGGTTAATAAATGTTCTATTAGACCGAAAAAAAATGTATTGTATTTTTTTGAGACCTAGAAAGTTACAAATCTTTAATTTTAAAATAGACTTTTCATGGACATACAAAAACGCTGTCGGCCATTTTAGTCTATAGATTATCTATGCTATGTCGTTGACGGTAGTAAACAAAAACTCGTAAGCACGTAGAAAATAACCTATCTGAGTTTATAATAATAAAATAAACATGATTTCTAATAGATACCACGAAAAATATAGTAATTATCATTATTGTATTGTACGAGAATGTAAGAACCTTGAAGACTCCAGGAAAGTTGTGGATTAAAGTGCCGAAAAAAATTAACCTACGCAATACCTGGTTAGAACTTGCTAAAAGTGATCCTGCAACTTTATCGACTCATAGTAAAATTTATTTTTGCGAAGATCACTTTGATGTAAGTACTCATTGAATAATATTTTAAGTCTCTTCATTTATTATCAGTTTTAATAATACAAGTTTTAAAGTTATGTATGAATGACATTTAGTTGTTTACTAAAAGCGACGTCACAATCATGGCGGATGTGGCGAACAGCGTTTTTAGTGTTTAAAATATATAGACTAAAAATATTTTTTTTAAATTAAATTTCTACGGCAATCTTCTGCTTATATGAAGTGAAATCGATATATTTAGGTTCCTTAGACCAAATACTTTAAGAAATAAGCATTTATTTAATACAATTCGACATGAGTCAACTAGCCTATTTTTAATGATCATGACTGCGTCTCATCACCTGTTGATTCTGCTTATGCTAATGTCTGGGTTAAAGGATTGTCTTATTCTATCGTTATCGCAAAAAAATCACAGCATCAATTTCAGTTTGACTTAAAAGTTTGTTGTCTGATATGAGTGTGGGAACATCCCAGATGAGCCATTAAAAAAGAAGTAAGAAGAAGACCGCTGTCAGTTAGCGGAAGTCGCGACGCAGTAAACGCGGTGCAAGTGCGGAATGTTACCGAACTAAAACGAAACTGGGAAAGACTAAGGCCCGTATTATAGAAAGATTCTCAGTGATTGATCTAGTCTTGAGCATAGTTAGAAAGGGATGTCGCTATATATAGCACATAGCGACATCCCTTTCGAACTGTATTCAAGTAAAGATCAACACTTAGTTGTCATTTTGTAATCCGGCCCTAAGACTATCAAAAAATGCAATTTTTCTTTTGGGAATCAAATAAAACATAACAAAGATAAAACGCATCAAAGTTCGGAGTGGGGTCTCGTGACTTCACTTCTAAGTAAAAATTGTACCAATGTATTACAGATTTATATTGTATTTTATGTTGATTTTAAATATTGCATGACGTCATGCCTTGGTACAATTGTTACTTATATCTCACCAAAAAAAAAACTTATCTCCGAAAATTAATTAAATCTATTGATACAGGACAAACTTCGGATGACCACGAGCAAGTGACTCCAACGAACACACAATCTTCACAGGTAAGAACATTAACAGACGAAAGTAGTATGTTATAGTGTCGAATCGAATCGATAATAGTATCGAAATTAGATATAATAATATAGGCTTGTCGATATTGTAAATGTTTTCGAAGCTATAGATAGTCCAGCAACATTAGTTTATTAAATTAATAGCAGTTCGGTGATACATAATTTTTCTCCCTATTCCATCCATAGGGATGTGCCCCAGCAGTGGGGACATTAATATGCTGATGATGATACATAATTTTAGTTTGTAATAGATATAAATTATTTCTTTATATATATATAATTATTTTGAAGTCACAAACAAACTTTCATCTTCTATTACACCTCTCTATTCTCTATATTTTTAAACAAGTTAGAAATGATATGGGATACCAACTGCGCCAAAAAGTGGTTCCACGCAAACTGCGATCAAGTGGGCGGGATGAATAAAAGCGATCAACACGCCTATTATGGAATTTATTGGGATTTCCGTTTAAAAACATTATCTTACCCAATGAATGGATAGCCCAATTCATTTGCAGACATTTGATTTGCTAAATTATTTCGTTTTTTCTCTGTGCACGCGTGTTAGTATTGAAGCTTAGTTGTATGGCTTTGGAACAATGTTTTAGCGGCATTTGTCAGAGACTAATAATATCCATATCATTTCTAATTGATATGGATATTATTAGCCCCTATTCTGTATACGGTGCTTCCTTATTATAACGTACCTCAATATAACGACTTCCTTGATTTAACAAATAGGGATGATGACTATTTTTTTTTCTTCGTTTATCAGGTAGGTTATCAAAAAGTATTGGACACGTATTTTTTCTTTTTTTCACATAATATAAACATTGCAGAGATATATTGATTTGAAAAGTCGCGTGACGTCACGTTTGAGTACACTTATAAGTGAAAATTCACTCATAAGTGACGTTACGAGCCCCTACTCCCAAACTTTGAAGCGCTATATATATATTTGCCGCTGTCCCAGCGAACTTCGTACTGCCATAAAAAATAGGGGTTGCTGGTAGAAGGGTCAAAATTTAGGGTTGTATGTATTTTTGTATGATGAATCATGAAAAAATAAAAACAAAAAATTTAAAGGTTAATTAATTTAATTTACCCTTAACAAATGTTATGGGTGGTCCACCTTTACATCTATTTTTCATCCCCCTGGAAGAAAAATAGATGTTGTCCGATTCTCAGACCTACTGAATATGCACATAAAATTCCACGAAAATCGGTCGAGCCGTTTCGGAGTAGTTCAATTACACACACCGTGACACGAGAATTTTATATATTAGATTAGATTTTCTTTAGAATTAATTATATTCTTTTTTTTATTTAAAGCAACAAGATCAAGTCCGATCTGTCCGTCTAAGGTTGTACCGTGAAGGTTTCACAGTGGATGGTGGTCCGTTACGGCACTATACGGACCCTGAGAACGCAGAGTTCCTTAATTGTATCCGTAGAGGGTGAGTTATGGACCCCAACCTTATTATTATTATTTAATGAATGCATGAATGAATTAAATGAATTTGTTAGTAGTTATTATGTTCATAGGCTAGGCATGGACCCTCTAGTAGCTTATATTCAAAAGACTGACGATTTGGGCGCGACCAAAAGTCATGACCGTTCGTTGAAATTTTGTTTTTGCTGCCCTAGACGTTCGACCCTACATAGAGGGCTCAGGTATGGTGGGAGTACATAACTAGGTGCAAGGTTGCTCCCCATATGTTATTCTGCCGCGCTCGAGTAAATCCAAAATTCCCCGCTTGGGCTCCCCTACTCTGCGCGCGTACTGCTTTCTCTTGCTTATATCCCCCACTTAACTCTCGTTCGCCTCGCCTGAACACACTTTTCGTAACGCGTAACGCTTAAAGAAGTTTCAGTTCAACAATGTTTTGTTACACAGTGAAATGCCATCAGAATTGGCAAGCGAGAGCGGAGGAGTCCGCGTTAGCTTAGAAGATCGTTGGCACGAAGAATACGCTAGACAACCTAGCAAGACTGCTGCTTTTTCTGGCAAGGGCCATATGCTGGGCAGGTGAGATTATGATATTAATTTATTTATTTATACTTTATTGCACAAATGAGCGTACAAGTGGCGGACTTAATGCCATTAGGCATTCTCTACCAGTCAACCGGGGAATTATAGCAAAAGACTGAAGAAGGTAGTGCAAAAAGAATTCATCAAATTGTTTATTTATTATAATTAAAGTATATCTATAGAAAAAAGGGAATATATATTTGTATATCAGTAATTTAAAAATGAATCGCTGAATGTGTTGCTGAGCGAAAATCTCGAGAACAGCTGAACCGATTTCGGTAATTATTTTTTTAGAATAATCATTGAAGTACAAGGATAGTTCTTACGCAGTGAAAATTTAAAAAAAATGCCTAAAAAAAACCAAAAACAACACTGTTCTCTATACTCCCATACAAACGATTCGGCATAATACTTAAAAGTCAATTTGAACTTTGTAACTAAACCATAAATTTCAAATCCAAGTGGAGAGGTTCCGGGAAGGCAAAACAATTGAGTGACGTGATGTCAATAGAAGTTTGGAAAAGGCAAATATACCATTTTCAGTTTTTTTTTTAAATTATATGAAGAGTCATTTTAGTCTACACTACAGCTCTACACCAAAGCGAAGCGAGGGCGGGCCACTAGTACTACATAAAATACATAATTATCTATAAAAATACATAAATAATAATGTGTATATTTACATATATACATACAAGATATATACATACAAACAAATCTATATCGTATCAGGAGGATGCGGAGGAGGAATCTGACAGATGATGACGTACGGAGCGTTTAAAAGCTAGTTTTTTCGGAGCATCTTGAATATGAGAAGGCAGTGCGTTCAGAAAGATATAATAATAATAAATAAATATTATCAACACACACTAATTAACCTAGCCCCAAAGTAAGCACTGTTAGGCTTGTGTTATGGGATACTAGGGTAACGGATAAAATACATATACAGTACATATATATAAATATATTTATATAGAAATACTGTGTGCTGTGTTGAAACGTAACAAAATAAATAAAAAAAACGAGCGAGCCTTACAGTAGTCGCGTATGACATGTAACATTTGAAACCTTACCTTATATTGGTAAAAAAGAACCTACTACAAAAGGAATAAGCTAGTTGAACGTTATGTCATATATCTAAAATCAAATAGCACGTGCTTTCCAAACTTCCTGTTACACACTTCCGTCCCACTTCACGTAATCACTCTCACAAATAGGTTATTTGACAGTATTAAAAATAAAGTGCCAATAGTTAGCATCTGTGTTAAGAATGAATATTGGCAGGGGTTTTTACTATTTTTACAAAAAAAAAAATATTCATTATTTTATTCGCGGCAACTTGAAAATGGAGTTTTTGATTTGGTTATTTTTACTGAAATACACAACAGAGTGATGAATATTCACTTTTTACGGACTCCATTAACATTAGTCAATAACGTGAGATCGTTTTCTAAAACTTGTCAAATACCCTGTTGCACGAAAGCGAGAGGATAGAAGTTATACATAAATAAAAATACAAATACAACCGCTTTATTTCCATATCGTATACTTACATATACAACTTCCCCATTCCTATGCCATCATGATTTGCTAGCGAAAAAAAAATTGAAAGAAATATTTTAATTTGTAAGTTTTGTTAATTTCTTATGTTTTCACGCACACCTATAATTTATATTTTTCCATATATTCTGACGTTATAGTCCTTTATTGACTTTTCGTTGCTTTCACAATAAAAATGTTAGTCTTGACTTGAAAGTAACGAAATGCAAGCAAGCGACACCGGTGTCTGACCCGAAACTTTAGGAATAATGAAAAACTAATAATACATCCATAGAGGTATAAGAATAGTGTAGGGGAGATAAAGACTACTATAAGTGGAAGTGTCCCTCTAATAGAAAGAGAAAGAAGATGAGAGATCTCTAGCTTTCTCTCTCTAATCGGGCATGCGCATTGGCAACCGTAAGCATTTTACTATTTCCATGTGATGCTTGGACCAACTATTGGACAGACGACTGCGCATGCGTCACAAGAGAGAGAGAGAAAGCTAGCGGTCTCTCATCTTCTTTCTCTTTCTACTAGACGGACACTTTTAGAGCCGCCTTCCCCAATCTATTGTTATACCTCTACGAATAAATCACGCATTCAAAAGCGTTTTAATAATTGGAACTCCTTTATTTTAAAAGTAAAAATGTATTTAACACTTGCTCCATCCTCATTGTTAGTAAATCTTCTTTATTTTGTCATGGTTTGTTTTTTTTCCTAGCCCTACCCCCACCACAGTGGGTGCCACGGCGGCAGTGGCAGCAGACGCCGGCGACCGCGCAGCCAATCAGCGCGCGGCACAAGAACAAGTGCCGCTCGATTCTAGTCAACCTGTCACTACAATACAGGTAGCATTATTATAAGTATAGTTTCTGATGTTTTCAGCCAATCAAGCACAAGAACAAGTGCCGCTCGATTCTAATCAACCAGTCACTACAATACAGATAGCCTGATTAGCTGATTATGATCCCCAATGACAGGTGTCACCATCATCTTTGGCATATCATCATCATTAGATTATTAATGTCCTGTATCAAAATGACACACAATAGACTGTTTCCTCAATACTCAGTTAAAATTCCTCTAAACATAAGACAATGGTTAAACCAATGTTTCTAAAAGTTTATTGTCGATAGTAAATGTAGCCGGTGTAACCAGACTTATAACAAAAAAACACATTTCAACTTAAATTATTTACTTTATCCTTCAATTTAATAGCATTATATTTATGATGCAAATAAATTATTATAATGCGTTCAAAGTTTCGGAATAGCTACAGTTTTAGGTATTTAAAGTGTCACTTTCTTTTAATTATGATTTTATAATGTATATATTTTATAATGTATTTCAAACGATATATTTAACTGTTCTACCAATCTTTTAAAAAATATATACACGATATAATATGTAGATAGTTCATAATTATAATATTGAGGCCATGAGAACGATAGTGGCCTAACTCATTTTTTAATCATAGTGGCTTACCTTACTTAGGTCAGTATGGCACCTCAAATTTAGATCACAGACTTAAATCCGTAACAGTGTTTATGCTGCCATCTAGTGAATATTCGTTGAATCACTTTTAGACCACTCTGGTTCAATCAAAATTATCAATTTGAACTGGAAAAAATCATAAACTAAATATTGTAAAAAAATTAGTTAGGCCACTATGGTTCTTATGGCCTCAATTGTAACCTACAAAACTTGCACCTTTTTTTAATGGTAGAAATGTATATTTAATGAGAAGGTGATATAAGACACATTCTCATTCAAAGAATGAAATATATGAGGAGCTGGCGAACAAAACGGTATGATTACGCATCTGGTCAAACTATGTTTTTTTACAGTCCGGAGGTTTCGGGCCCGTTAAAATTTGAATATCAAATCATTTTCAATCAAAACCGCCTAAAGCAGTGTTAATATTACTAAATTTATAAATTAAAAACCATACCAAAATCTCACTGGAGGTATGTCATTCAGTTTTATACAGCTCCCGTAAAATTGAATTTTATATAATTATACCGCTTCGTACGCCAGCTCCTCATATATTTGCACAAATATTGAGTGTTCATAGCAAAATATTTTTGTCCATACAGTTCCGTCTAGCAGACGGCAGCCGTATAACGGGTCGTTTCAACCACACCCACACCGTTGCCGATCTCCAACAATACGTGTCGAGAGCCGAACCCCTATACCAACTACAGCCATTTGCACTCTTAACCACTTTCCCTAGTACAGAACTAACCGATCCCACAGCAACATTGGCTCAAGCGAATCTACTCAACACCACTTTACTCCAAAGACTTAAGTAGCTGAAAAACATGTTTGTTACAAAACCACAAAAACACTATAAACCCGCTTGTTACAAAGTATAAAATATGATTGTTACAAGCTACGAAACCCGCATGTTACAAGCTGAAAAACATGTTTGTTACAAACCACAAAAACACTAAAACCCGCTTGTTACAAAGTATAAAATATGTTTGTTACAAACTACGAAACCCGCTTGTTACAAGCTGAAATACATGTGTGTTACAAACTACGCAATGTGCTTTGCTACAATGTATAAAATAACTTTGTTTTATATAAAACTTTTAGCAATGGCTTACCAATAAAAATGTGTCCTTATGGAACATGGAAATTGTTTATTTAGGTTGTTGGTTTTGTTTATTCTTTTTTACTTTTCAATATGAATTTCTGTATTCATCTGTCAACATTTGAGGGCTTAGCACGAATTTTAATAGCTCTGTAAACTTATCGCATCGTCAAAGTTTCTATGAATACTAAGTAGCGCCCCCTATCTGACGTAAGAAACAAACTGGTTTCCATACAAAATTTGACGATGACGATAAGATTATGGATCTCTCAAGGTACATGCTAGGGCCTCTGATATTAAAGAAATCTTAAACTGTTTCTGATTTCTATGTGTATAAATCCAAACATTATAATTTTATACTTTTTAATAAGAATAAATTAAAGATCCATGCCTATTACATTGTGTTTTGACTTTATTTGGGTGATATCTTATTATATCGAAGGCGTTCAATTGTTTTGGATGTACAGCAATAAAAAAACTCCAATTTATGCTTAAAATTGTCATTCCTAATCCAAATTTCATTGCCTTATAGTGCCTTGTAAGAAGGTCCATTATCTGACGTAGCTTCGATCGAATTCATTACAAAAATATTATAATACACGATAGTTGCCATTGCTAAAAGAAAGTTTGTAAGAGTATGCCGTTCTCATTAAAAATACAACCACAAAACAGAATGAAAGACAAATTATGAAAGTTCTCAAAAATCATTGATTTATTCCAGTAAGGCGGGCTTTCCTCTCCGGGTCGGTGCGGGCTCGTTTTCGTTTCTGTACCGGATCTGTACAGAAGGTCTACTCTCTTTCTCCAAAACGAACTTGCGATAGCGAAGTTCAAAAGAAAATTAATTTCGTCAATTTACGGTTATACTTAATTTGAATGATAAGCTATCAAATTGAAGATTTCTTTGAGTAGGCTTAGAAAATCTACACCGCAATCTGACGAAGAAATTATTATAATTAAAAACGAACCAAATAGTAAGAAAAGTGTGAAGTTTCGAGCGAAATTTCGTTTTTCGTTGAATTAGAGTAGGCCTCCAGATTCTTTACCGAAAATCACTTGTTGAACGGTTCGGTTTTGGTGCGGTATCGTTTTATTGTGTTTGCGGGAGTGACGGAACGGTCGACTTAAATTGATCGACTTAGTATTCGGCAGTCCTCTTTAGCACTCGGTACAGAGAGCTGTGTATCTGTTCGGTAAAGATTCTGTACCGAAGTTACTCAGTGCGAAAGCGCTTAGTAAATATTCAGGACAGATTCGGTCAAGCCCACACCGAGGCGAGAAGGAGTGTGAGGTAGGAGCGTAATGCTGGCACCTCACACGGCTATACATATTCCCTTAGACGGTTTTCGAAACCAGTTTCGAGAGAATTTTAATTCTTCTTTTTAAACCGGTTGCTAAATTAGAAATATGTTCCATGGGCATCTTAATTATTGAAAATTATATGAAGAACGTACCCCATACTATGTACCCCCCCCCCCCCTCATTGGCCTTCCGCAGTATATGCCAAGACCCCTACCCTCTCCCTCTAGTTTTCAAGTAGTATTTCATAAATGTGGTTTTAAATAATTTTTTCACATAGAAAGTAAAATAAACTAATAAAATTGACTCATATTAGTCTATGGTTTCAAAAACGGCCGAAGGGTTCGCATTTGCTATCTATTTATCAGCAGTCACTCCTTTTCATTTTCTATAGAGCATGATAAAAATACAGTGCTGCCAAATGTACAAATAGCCATGTGAAGTGCTAACATGAGAAAAGTAGAGATATCTATTTAAAACAAGTGGAATTGAATTGTTCACAGAGTGAGCGGGGTACCAGTATGTTTGTAGCTATTGTATGAATTATAGCTGTATTAGGTATTCTATGAACTGAAACGTGTTAGTACGTAAGCTTTTCTGTCATTGGCCGGATTGTATTGCTGTCGTTACTCCAACCAATGGCAGCCCTCTTTCAATGTGACGCAATTTTTAATCCTTGTCTTTTGTAAGCGATTTTGTGATAAAGGAAGCGCTCCATTAACTCGTTTCTGCGAACAGAGTACTAATAGCGGGTTTGTAGCGACCATAGACTTAAAGAATGTACTGAGCATTCGCTGTCAATTGTAAAGTGAAACAAAAGTAGGAGTGAAAGAGACAAAGCTATCGGGCGGTCCATAGTGTTTGTCCCTTTGTAAAGAGTTATAATTTTCACGCGATTGTTTATTTATTAAACTATTGCCACAACTACAAAATGAAAAAAGGCGGACTTAACGCTAAAAGCATTCTCTGCCAGCCAACCTTCAAGAATACAGAAATACACGACTGCGGTTTACTCATTCTCTTAGTCTATGGTATAGTAGCGATTTTACTATGTTCACGCACGGTGATGTGATCTAAAGACTTGTGTACATTAGTGTCTGATTACGAAATACGATGATGCAATACAAATATACCTTTCGTACTGATACTTTTTTTTATTTTTTTTAACCCTCTTCATTAAGTTACATCTTTAGGCGTTGAGCAGACGACGGGGCGGGGCGGGCATTTTGTCCGCGAAGCAATAAAGACCGCGTCTGCCCGTCGATGTCTGCGGCTGCCCGCGCCGCGTACACAAAACACACGACGGGCAGAGGCGGTCAGTTCAGGACGTTCGTTCTAGTGAATAGTCCATCACTAATAAGCGCGTGGCGCGGACTGAGCTGACCGCCCCGCGCCGCCGTCTGTGTTACTGCATATAAACTGGTTTGTATGATCCACGTCGGGCAGCCGCGGACATGCCGCGCCGCCACTGCCCGCCGGGCACCTGCGGCGCGGTCTTTTTGCCCTCTGTGTGCGTTTGAAGTATAGGATTCACTTTGTGCTATTATTCGCGGCGAAATTGACCGGCCCGCCCCGCCCCGTCGTCTGCAAAGTGCCTTATGGTCAATATTACTAGCGCAGAGTCGAAGCGTTATTCAGAAGCGTTTTTTCAAAATAATGATTTTATAAATGTTCATGTTTTTAATGCAAGTTCGCTGCTTGACAAGGGGATTATACGGGTACTCAATACAACACTTAAAAGTAAGTCCTGATGTCTCCCCTAGGGGGGCCGTCAGGGGATGGGGGGGGGCATTCAGTCCGACCATTTCTACTTGTTCTACATATAATCTGCGGAGACGAGGGACTTTAGTCTGTGGAAGACAAAAATCCCTGAATTGTGAAAAAAAATGTCCCTGTCTCGACGCACACGGTATGCGTACATTTGTTGCCCATAAAGAGAAGCGCACGTTATGGAAGCAAATATTCCGAGCTTACGTTTTGTTGTAGTTAAACGAAGTTTAAGAAAAGCAGAAGACGTTTTAAAATATCTAAACTTCGCTGTGTGCGTTCCAGCATCCCTAGCGCACCGCGATATGGTATATAACGCATTTTTATCACGCTCAATTGTCAAATTACTATGGAGTTTGACAGATAAAAAACGTGATATAATGTAAATTGTGGTGCTACAGGGACAGGGATGGGGAAACTTTTTCCTTATCTTGCGAATTTATACAGAATCTACGGTGAGCCAAAGTTTTGCTCAGGTAACTAACGATGATATAGCTCAGTTATGACCTCACCCTGCAAAATAGGTAGATACCAGGTTCGGCGGCAGAGAAAAAGAGAACTTTTGATTTTCGTTTGATGGATTTCAACCATTGGGACATTCATTTATTACGTAAAACTTTTTTTACCCGGCTGCGCAATGCAAGAGCGCGAAGCGCGACGCGCAGACAGGGTTATGTGTTTAACAGTCTATATATGTATGTTTGTTCCTTTGTGGCACACTAGAGACCAAACGCCTGGACCGATTTTGATGATTCATACATCAATCGATTCGTCTCAATCATGGGAGTGCTACTAAAGATATGATAGTAATCAAAATTCAGCATGGGCAAAATTAGGCGCCATATTGTGACGAAGTAAAAAAAATAAGTTGACAAAATATGTCGAGTGGAGTATCACTGTCTAGATAATCAAAAAGCATATTTAGGTTCCTAACACCATTTTTCATTTTATATGATTGTTTAGGATCTACAACTCTTTAAAGTTGTATATTAACCACTTACGCTTTTAATTTCAATCTTACGTTTGTAGATTTTTATAGGTAAATCACCCCTTTCATTACCCTACGCCTATAAGTATTGCGATGTTGTAGCTAAGAACAAAGTTCCCATCTACTTCTATATGGGAATTCATTATATTCGATTTAGCTATTAGGGCACGGAAGCGCAACAAACAAACTCACTTTCGCATCTATAATATTATTTTGTAGATAGGTCCGACATGTGACTCCACCCTATCTAAATGTTAAGTGATGGTGAAGTCCAGACGTGAAGATCGCTGGTACAGCAGTTCTACCTGCCACACCAGCCATCCTCACCTTGCCGGCCTGCATGTTGCTTCTTTACGCCTCTATTAAAGGATCCCAGGTTGTAAGAAGGAGGAAACACATGAGCAGGCAAAGCATTCCATTTACGGATAGTGCGTCAAAGAAATGAGTCACCAAATTTCTTTATACGCGTTGGAATTGTGGCCACAGTTAAACGGTGACACCGAAGGCCAGCGCGCGTGGTCCTCTGAAGGAAAGGGGAAGGTGGAATAAGAGAGAATAACTCTTCAGAACACTCGCCGTGGTACGGACGATAGAACGCGCTTAGTGACGCCACGTCACGGCGTAATTGAAGAGGCTCGAGGTGTTTAGTCACCTCCTCATCGCCTATGATGCGAATCGCACGCCGCTCTAACATATCCAAAGCATCGAGCAAGTACTTGGCGGAGCCATCCCAGAGGTGCGAGCAATATTCCACGCAAGACCGCACCTGCGTCTCATACAACAAGCACAGTTGCTCGGGCGTGAAAAAGCGCCGCACCTTGTTCAGGACTCCGAGTTTGCGTGAGGCCGCTTTTACCACGCTTTCGATGTAATTCTTTGTATTTAAGTCACAGCGAATTTCCATACCGAGCATGGTGGTACTGCTCTCTAGCTCCAGTGCCCTGAAGAGAAGGACAAGAAAGGAAATGCGATGTTTTTGCCGTGAAAGCACAGACCTGGGTTTTCTTAGCATTGAACTCAACCAAGGTCTTGGTACCCCATTGAGAAATGTGGCCCAAAGCCTGATTGAGTTCAATGACAAGATTCGCCCATTTTTCCTTGGTTACCGCCTGTCCAGCCGCTGCTTGACCGAGATACCCCGCATGCACTGTACTATCGTCTGCATAGCAATGAATGTTTCCAAGAGGAATTAAGTCATTGATATGCAGCAGAAATAGGGTAGGGGATAGGACGCAGCCCTGAGGAACGCTGGCATTCACTGACATGAACCGCGAACTATCGTCCGCAAGGACATGAATTCTACGCTAACGCAGGAAGTTAGCTACCCAGGAACAGAACTGGGCCGGCAGACCGGATGCCGGAAGCTTGGAGAGAAGGCTTTTATCCCAGACCCTTCCAAACGCCGTGGCAATGTCAAGGCTGATAGCCAATGACTCGCCACGCTTGTCGATAGCCTCACCCCAGATATGAGTCAAGTACGCCAGAAGATCACCCGTCGATCGTTTCGGTTTAAAACCATACTGACTAACATTAATCAGAGAGTGATCCTCTAGGTAGCGGGTCAGATGGTTGTTAAGGACCTTGTCTAGGACTTTACGTAATACTGAGGTGACTGCTATTGGCCGGTAGTTGGCCGGGTCTGAGCGATCCCCCCCTTTTTGGACATCGGTTGCACGTTGGCGTCCCTCCATGTCTCCGGCACACGCCCCAAAGAATACGAGCTTTGGTACAAGCGCGTGAGCACGGGAGACAACTTAGCTTCATATTTTTTAAGTACAACTGGTGGGATGCCTCCAGGTCCACTAGCTTTCCGGACGTCGAGTAACTGCAATTCAGCGCGAACCTCGCGCTGCCATCGTTATGCCACAATGAGCTAATGATGGTGGTAGGGCTGTAGTGTGTGTACTAGCTATATGCACACACACTCATCCCTCCTAATCAGTGTTGCCAGGTCTCCAGATTTTACAGGAAATCTCCTGTTTTTCTGAAATTTCTCCTGTTCTACTGTTTTTCTACATGAATCTCCTGTTTTTTTTAGAATACGATTTATTTTTTAAATTGCATGTTGAGTTGCATTTTTCGTCATTAATAATGTAGATAACCTTAATAATTATAAAATAGCTTTGAGGGCGGCAGAAGCCATAGAAACACATTCGTTACTGGTCTTTATCTTGATTTGATTTACCAATTCTGGGGGGGGGGGGGTGCAAACCGGAAAAAGTACACCTCTGCATCTACTGTTTTTCTTGTAGCTGTTTCCATACATCTACTGTTTTTTTCTAAAACGCCTCCCGAACTTTAAAAATCGGACCTGGCAACACTGCTCCTAATATATATGTGACTTATAGATATGTTGTTTTTACGTATTTTAGATATGTTGGATTCGTTTATTTTGGTTTTGTTAATTCATGAAAACTCCTCCTTTTGAAGTCGGTTAACAATTAGAATATAAAACTTTGTTTTAGTGTATCTTATTATTAAAGTTATTTTTTAAATTCAGAAACTTTAATTCTCGGTGCATTTAAATTAAAAGTTGTGATTTCGTAATGGGCTAGTTGACCCTTTTTGGAAAAAGGTTCTAAATGGTTAATAAATGTTATATTAGACCTAGAAAGCTACAAATCTTTAATTTTAAAATAGACTTTTCATGGACATACAAAAACGCTGTCGGCCATTTTAGTCTATAGATTATCTATGCTATGACGTCACCGGTAGTAAACAAAAACTCGTAAGAACGTAGAAAATAACCTATCTGACTTTATAATAAAAAAAACATGATTTCTAATAAATACCACGAAAAATATAGTAATTATCATTATTGTATTGTACGACAATGTAAAAACACATCCTCGAAGACTCCGGAAAGTTGTGGATTAAAGTGCCGAAAGAAATTAACCTACGCAATACCTGGTTAGAACTTGCTAAAAGGGATCCTCTGCAACTTTATCGACTCATAGTAAAATTTATTTTTGCGAAGATCACTTTGATGTAAGTACTCATCGAATAATATTTTAAGTCTCTTCATTTATTATCAGTTTTAATAATACAAGTTTTAAGGTTATGTATGAATGACATTTAGTTGTTTACTACCAAAGAGACGTCACAATCATGGCGGATGTGGCGAACAGCGTTTTTAGTGTTTAAAAATTATAGACCAAAAATATTTTTTTAAATTAAATTTTTATAGCAATCTTCTGCTTATATGAAGTGAAATCGACATATTTAGATTCCTTAGACCAAATACTTTAAGAATTAAACATTTATTTAATACAATTCGAAATGTAATCTAATCAAAATTGAAAATATTGGTCTTTTGCTACTAGAATCATTAAAATTTATATGAATTAAATTGAATAGGTACGATAAGTATATAGAAAATGTATAGATGAATTAGGTATGTATTTCACTTAGGTAAAGTTTGTCACGTAAATATTCTTCAGGAATCAAAATTAGCTAGTATCAAAAGCATTTAAAATGTTACGTATATATTATTATTGACATATTCAGTTATGTTTGATAATTTTCCATTGAGTTCATTTATAGTGGGAGTACAAAAATACAGTACCCCTAGCACGAACCATTAGCGAATTCGAATAGTTTGCAAACCGAAATGTCAATGTAA